AATTCCACGATCCCCTCACAGCACTAATTAGTAGGCCCAGCCACGAAATGATGGTGAGTGTATATAATTGAGTCTAGCAAGAACCGGGCAGGTAAGGACAAGCTAAATTTGCCGGGACAAGAACAGAATATTCTGCCTGCAGCAATAACAATGGACAGAGGAGCACTTAGATCTCCTTGACACCACACAATTCAGTTTATAACAACATGCCATGATCAAAAATAAGTTTTCTTGTGAGTGAATGTTTTTTATGACAGTTAGCACTATTCTGACTATGTTTCAATATAGCACTTTTAAATAGATAGGTCCACTGTAGGCAAACCTGCAGTTCAAACAAGCTCTTACCATTGGAGTTATGTGTAAGATTAAGCATTTAGGACCTCTAGAACATAAGACATCCATACCCTACAAGACGCACAATAATCTTTTTAATCTTCAGTTTTGGCAGGCTGGTAGTTAGACCAAATATTCATGTCAACAGACAGCAAACCAACATTATAAGCAATATGTGTATAATTTCCCTGTGGTTGAAATAGTGAGTTAGTGAGTTTGTCAGCTAAGGGTTCAAATTCACATTTGAGGTACCTAACAATACCTCTAGTAACTCCCGATATTTGTTTCAGCTGAACGCAAGCAAGACTACAGTCAGATGCTTACCACCTAATGTTAGGCCTAACTTGGCTCTTATCAATCTTGGTACAGCATGGTGTTATCACATGGTCACTCATTAGCTGAGATTGCTCCACTAGGATTTTACTCAGACTGCAGACCAGTGGCAAAAGTCACAGACCATCCCAGCGACAGAAAGGAAGCCCAATGGCAAATCAAAGTTAATCAACCTTTCAGGGAAATCATTAATTATCTGACAGTCAACATTTTCTCACTATGTACTGGATTGCAGCATCGCTGATAATTCAAAGTGTTTTATGAATGCATATATAATAAAACAATATTTGAAATATTCCCAAAATATACATAAATAATAATACCTTATGAGTATGCAAGAATGTTTTGTGCAAAGAACAAAATCATGATAACGATTCTATGAACAGATTTCTTTTTTTACAGGGATTTACCTTGATCTCCATATTTGCAAGTGCTCTGAACTCTACATAATACAGTTTGATCATCCCAAGGGGCAACTGTACATTTTGAGGATCCTAACGGGCAACTGTACATTAAGAAGATCCCAAGGGGCAACTGTACATTTTGAGGATCCCAAGGGGCAACTGTACATTTTGAGGATCCCAAGGGGCAACTGTACATTTTGAGGATCCAAAGGGGCAATTGTACATTTTGAGGATCCAAAGGGGCAACTGTACATTTTGAGGATCCAAAGGGGCAACTGTACATTTTGAGGATCCCAAGGGATCAACCAAGTTTGGTTGTTGTTTGATAGCAATAACTGTACATTTTGAGGATCCAAAGGGGCAATTGTACATTTTGAGGATCCCAAGGGGCAACTGTTCTTTTTGAGGATCCCAAGGGACAACTGTACATTTTGAGGATCCCATGTGGCAACTGGACATTTTGAGAATGGACAACTGTGCTCACAGCAAATAAAATACAAATTTTGGGGGAAAGCTTCCCACGGAAACCATGCTAATTATAGACTAGCATTATATTGCTTGAATCAAAACTTGGTGAATGAGTAAATGGAATCTGACATTAATTCTCCCAATCTGATTTTATTTCTTATCAGAACAAAAATAATACATCAAACGGACATCTTTCAATTTTAGTTTCAGTCCCCCCAACATCCAAATTCTTTTGCATCCAATGGCATTATTACCATTTAATTTCATCTATATGTTTTGTACCCAAAATTTGGCATCCAGCAAAACTTGGACTTAATTACATACAGTTATGTCAGCTTGTGTTAAAGGGAAATGCCAGAAGGTGATGCCTGTTACAGAGATTTTCAGTTAAAATAATGAGCAAGTCACTCATCTTCTTATCACTGAGGGGTGGTGGGGTGGCCTAGTGGTTAAAGTGTACACTCGTCACATCGAAGACCCGGGTTCAATTCCCCACATGGGAATAAAGTGTGAAGCCCATTTCTGGTGTCTCCCGCTGTGATATTGCTGGAATATTGCAAAAGCGGCGATTCACTGATGTATGTGATATGCACTGGGGAAACATTGCTAGGCCTGTGAACACTTGAGTGTTTGAGCAGGGTACCATATAATATTCGGTGCCACTGAGTACTGACTTTCCATTTGATATGGATGTTTTTCTCTGCTATTCAATACATTAATACTCCCTTGGGTCCAGCCTGTTAGTTATTGTTACACTGAAGAGTTGAAATATTTCAAGATATATCTTCTCAAAATTCTTTTTAGGGTAAACGGCAATATTCTTAGCTGCCCGAAGAGTGTAACATGTTGCATAATCTCAGAGATATACATGTATAATTAACAATAAATGAGATATAGCACTTCATACATTATTCACTGCAGAAGAGATCAATGTATGGACATGGGAGTGAGCATCCTCGATAATCTCCGGGGTATACGTTACGATCACTCTCCACTATACCCTGGATGCATCCACGGTTTGGCCCGATGATTTTATTACTTCCATTGGCTGGCTTTTTATCCAATCAGGTGTATATGCTGGGAAGTTGAGCGAACCAATCACAACTCAATTTAGCTTCTTAAATTATCTAACCGTTTAAACTTGGCAACACAATTGATGCAGAGGTACTCTGAAAAGTGTAGGAGTTCTTTCATATATTTTTTCAAAGTTTCAGATCTGTCAATTTGTCTGTATTATTTACCCAACAAATCTGAGTGGCACTGCGAACAAACCTTCGCGACTGCTACCGCTATCTTTGTTGACACTGGCAAGCTCAGATGTAACGGCGGCTTAGCTGATTGGCTACTGTGAGAATGCGGAGCCAGCAAAGGGTATAATTATTGGCCCAAGCCGTGGATGCACCCAGGGTTTAGTGGAGAGTGATCGTAACATATACCCTGGAGATAATCAAGGATGGTGAGTGAGTGACTTTAGTTTTACACCACTTTTAGCAATATTCCAGCAATATCATGCTGGGTACACCAGAAATGGGCTTCACTCATTGTAATCATGTGGGGAATCGAACCCGAGTCTTCGGTGAGGCGAGTGAATGCTTTAACCACTAGGCTACCCCACCGCCCCTGTATGGGCATGTGCCTGGATTCAGTGAGTAAATAAAGTGCTTTAGACTTAATATACCTGAAATATATCAACCTACCAGTTCCAAAGAGTAATGGTATACCAAGTTCAGGAACAAAATGTAACAATCTATCACGATATACAGCTACACTACCCACAGTGCATTGCTAATTGGTTATCTGTTTCGTGTCTACAGCCACATTGATCAAAATGACGATCAGATTAGGTACTTCATGAATTTTTTAAACATCCCATGAATAACACCATCCAGTTGACAAAAATGTCCCCTCACACAAACAATTTGCTTGATAACTTCCAGATAGCAAGAGTAAGCTTACATAGCACTGTTACAAACAAGTATTACAAAACCTACATTGCCCAAGTTTCTTTAATTTCATATCAGCAATATTTTGCTTTTTTCTTTTTTTAACAGAGATATTCAACACAGAAGAACTTGATTCCTTCATATTACTGCAGTTAATCTTTCACTTTATTATTGATATTTAAATGAGTAATACATGTGTAATAATTCTGATAAATAAAAGTAATTTTAAGAGTCAAAGGTATGCCATCAACATGTCCATCTGGAGTTGTATGATCCCCATGGAGTTGAGATTGATAATACCATGTGCCGTTTGAGATTGACATCCAATGATCGAGGGAAAAACAAAGCGCCTTTGAGCAGCTGAGATGGATATTAGTGCTATACAAACATTTATAAATAAAAATTAAAATAATATCTAAATTAGCAAAACAGAATGTCTAAATTAGATTCAGTTGGTCTTTTATAAATACTTTAACCAACCTGATTAAGATTTAGTAAATATATTCCTACAAAATTAAACTTGTCACTGACCCAATGCCTATCAATAGATATCATGCTTTACAAACCATTACTGTTCTGTTTGCCACATAACTACATTTGACAATCACCTTTGTCTCCAATGACATCAATGAATTTCACATAGAAAGAATATACATATACATAATTCTTTCATGATATCAATACACTGTCCCTTTTTCTTGAAACCTGTCTTCAAGAGTTTCCTTGCAAATCTGGAACATTTCACAGCAAATCCTACTCCAAATATAACATTTTCTTCAAATTATTATTTCTGACTAATCCTTCAATATGGATTAAAAAAACACACACTTTTATGGTAAATATCACTGACAATTGTAATTTGATATCAACATTATTGGTACAGTGTTCATAAGATCACAATACATTATATATTTTGCATTTGTAATGGCTAATACCCATCATGATTACCGCAAAGAAATCAATATCAATAATTTTAGGTACTGACCTAAACACAAGGATCACGTTTTGCCTCCCACTGTATTTAGTTCAACAGGTGCTAATGCAATTTTAAACAATCTTATCATTTGCAGAACATGAGAGTTACACTGAAGGGTGGAGAATTTTACTGTTGTACATGAAAGCACTAGACGTGCATTTAAGCAATGAAATATAATGTCATGACATTATAGAGAAACTGGTTCTTGTATGTTAATAATTGATAATCAATGACAATAGGCCACTTCCGTTTTTTAATGGGAGGTAGATGCACGCCCTGACGTCTTTCAAATACATGACAACACACAACAAATTCATGACTGGTAACATTTAATATGTGTTCAAAATGTTTGGTAGAATTTATCGCTGGAAATGATGGGGATGCTGAAAACAATGCCTGCAGATCAATATTATCGTTCTAAATATAGCCCCAAACAGGTCATTGATTCGACAGGTGACAACATGACGGAATGTACATTTCACGACAACACATACTCATAGCTTGAACCACGAATTTACATTCCGCATCAAACGCTTGACTTACCAGGTGCAGAACTGTGTCGACAACATCCTTGTTGGACACCTGATTTCCCTGAATCAAGCCGATCAACAAGCCGAATTTTTGCTCATCATCGCCAGGTGCTTTCAGTATATCCAGAACGGATTTCACTTCACTCTTTACTTCCGTGGCCTCTCCAGCCATTTTTGAATAAACAATGCAACACGAGAGTTGCAGGTAATTGGAACAGGTACTATATGCGCTCACTCAGTATACAGGTGTATATTCTACATTCTTTGATCGACGCCGACATACACCGAAATATTACAGTGGAGCGTGGTCGCTTCCGCATTCGTCGGTCAGAATGGAGTCGCGACGCTGATTCGTTTAAATTTGCGGGTGTCTCTTTACAATATACAACAGCCATAATTATTTTATTGAAGCGCCTTTGTTTGTTTTTTTCTATTTACTTTTCTTTGACCTATAATAAATGAACTTTCTAACGGATTGCTATTATTTAGTAAATGATCACCGGTCGTTTTCTGTCGTACAACCCTACTTCCGGTCGAAGATCTGTCAGTCTGTGCCTTGTCTTCAGCGAAATATTTTAGGAATTTCTCGCCAAAAGACAGCTAAGGATGGCTGCCACAGAAGTGCAAAGGGTAAATCAATATATATTTTAACACAGTGCATGATACAGATGATCAGCACAGGAAGTGAATGCCTTTAGATAGGAGTCTTCAGTAGTCGAAAGCATAAGGAACAAAGACAAGTTGCTTCTATTTAAATGGACTGAATGATTCATAAACATGACGTTAGTGTGGCTAAAATTGCTCTTTGACTTATCATAGGAATTCTTTGCGTATAATATGACCCATAAATAATTGGCGTTATTCTGGTGGATTGTATGTCGGCAACCCGGTTCAACAACCTAACAATCTAGCACCTCTGACATCTTTCAGCAGGAAGTCGGAAATACACGAAGTTAAAAGTCTTCTTACACACACTTGGGAACTGTATTTAACATTTCCTTGACCTTGGATAGATATCATTTGCTGTTGTGTTGAAAAGTTTTTTGTATAGTATGTTACAATTTTCGTTTCTTGATCAAATTTACAATTTTAATAAACTTGAAAAGGCTTGATATCAGCAAATTTCAGGAATCCATATACCGAGCAAATTCTATGTAACCGGATTGAGTTGTGCAATATCAACTGTATGTTGATTTGGATTCTTTCCCAGTTGAACAGACTGTTGCTGGAAGTGACTTAAAATAATCCAGATACTATGTAATTGTTGTTTGATAGAGGTTTTAGGACGAAAAGACAAATCAAGTACCATTAGTAGTACATGTTTAATTGCACAAAGATCTGATATGTAACAAAATAAACTTGGAATAAGCAAATGCAAAGTCTTGAAGTACTGGGGATGAGATCAGAATTTGATATCTTATACGTCCAGAGGACAGTTAATAGAGTTATAAGACTATTTTCCTTGTACTGAACGTATGCTGACAGTTTCTTTCTTTTCACGGCATATGAAGACAACAAATGTTGGATCATATTTACATCACACAGTCTGAGTCACAATACATTGTGAAGTACACAATTATAAACATTTACATAATGAAAATTAGAAAAAAAATGTGTTACAAACAACTTGGTAAAAATAGTAGAATATCTTCATGTTCACAAATATTTGTCAGTGTGTAACAATGTATACAAATGTCCTTGCAAGTGTCAAAGTGGATATTAATTCCTGAATTTATCAAGGAAATTCTCTGTGTGAATACATAAAGAGAATTGCAAGTTCATAATGAGTAATAGGAACCTTGACTTACTATGATAGAGAACTCTGAAGAAATATGACAGTTTTATTTTTTTAAAGTAAATACAGCAGTGTCACCTTACATGTTATAACATGTAAAATTAGACAACAGTATTTCATGCAGATAATTGCATATCATGCCTATGTTTAGCTGTTGCAATGAAGTTCAAAACATTTTTCATAATTTTCATGATTATGCCAAGTGGATCTTATATGTATTAATGATTTCATCCCCATTACAACATTAGGGTTCTCATGTTATTTTTTATTGTGAACGGAATTAATTTTGCCTAGATTATTCCAAGTACAACAGAACATAATGTGCAAAATATCATCAAGATCATGTTGCTTCTTCAAGTTTGTTCTAGGTACACAACAAAGAGATTTTGATCTAAAGCTGTTTATATTTGTCAATCTCCATGTACCTCAGGCTGTATAGCCCATCAAAATACCTTGTGAAAATATGGGCCTGCTCAGAAATGGAGGTTGTTTGTTTTTTGGTGGTTTTTTTCAGGTATTAATGATCTGTAGTAATATGTTTACAAAATATTAATTGTTATGATTATGATCAGTTAACAATGATTATATTTTTTCCAAATTTAACATTAAGAAGGGATGATATCAATTCTGTGGAAGATATTAAACTAGAATGCAGGTTATGTCAGTTTTAATCGGAATTGGCAGTAACTTTAGCAGTTGTTTAGTGATTGAAATTAGCACAAGAACTCAAGCCAGGACCAGGTTTGTTAATGTTGAAAGTATCCTGTGTGCAAGTTGAATGTCAAACATTGCTATATGTTTTCATGGCTATGACTATCAAAACAAGTAGAAGTTCTTTGTTATTTTCAAAACATAAGCAGTGTTACTGAATCCCACTGCTAAGCAGGGTTACAAATATTTCATGACTTTTAGTCGTCCTCAAAAATGCTCAGCTACAGGATTACCATAATTGTAATGTTTGCCCTCAGGGCAGTATCATGAGTCTTTTTCTGAAATGGACTTGGCTCAGGCTAGTTCTCAGGGCAGTATCATGAGTCTTTTTCTGAAATGGACTTGGTTCAGGCTAGCGAACTTGTGTTAATTTCCAAGCATGTGATCTGTGTCATCATAATCTTAGATTTTACACTGGCATGATAAACATAGTTAACATCATTAACATCTTGGTTCTGGTGACTTATTTTCAGGATGACAACAAAACAATTAGTTTGCCAAAGGTGAGACAAAATATTTTTTTTTTCTGATAACGTTTTGTGACAAATACATAACTATGTCAGAAGGACATATTCGAGAAGAAGGGCCTGATTTCAGGAACTTGAGTTAAACTTTCATCCAGTGCATGTTGACAAAACAAAACCAGGCCACACCTCGTCCCATCAATTTATCAAAGTTGTGCACTGATGCATGAACTAGTTCAATAGGTAAAATTTCAGATCAGACCGTGTTGTTTTTAAAGAAATAATTATGTATTTCTGTAAAACATTATCGGACCACATAGACGACAATCTTGACTTAACGGCAGTTTGATGATGTCAGACACAAGAAAGCTTGACAAAGTACACAAAACACCAGGATTAGTGATGTAGTATGGTATCCAAAGATAAGAGGCATAGTGCGTATTCAGGGCTCCAGATAATTTTTCAACATCAGGAGTGGTACTCTTCCTTGTGTAAACAGGTCAATAAACAATAAAACAATACTTTTTCAGATAAATCGTGTGTAAATGAAGATACACCAGCATTATCTGCTACGCGTATGCAGTGCATAGTGCATATTCAGAGAGCAGTGTTGTGTGGAAATGTCAGGCTAAGTCAGATGTAAATTTGAAATAATTTTATTTGCACAAGGTGCATGTAGATACCAGGTTGCACTCTTCATTTAATAGGTTGCCTTGGGGTGCACTTTATATTGTTAAATCAAGCTTTGTGGAATGATGAGATTAAGATTTAATGGGAGGATCCTTTCCATGGGTAAAAATCTACTAGTCATGCTGATATGAATAATTATAATTATAACTTATTTAAAAAAACACAAGATGCCTTCATATCTACCAGCTTTTGATTAACGGTACTTGAAACTTTGTGGTCAACAGTGGTGAAGTGATACCAGGATTATCCATGGAGTTACAGAAAAAATAATATCAGCAATATTCATCAATGGTATTGCCTTGGTTTTTTTCAATTTATCTCCTAAAATTCCACTGCATAGCAGGGTTAGAAATATTTCATTACTTTTAGTCGTCCTCAAAATGCTCAGCTCCAGGATTACCATCATTGTAATGGTGGCCCTCAGGGCAGTATCATGAGTCTTTTTCTGAAATGGACTTGGCTCAGGCTAGCGAACTTGTGTTAATTTCCAAGCATGTGATCTGTGTCATCATAATCTTAGATTTTACACTGGCATGATAAATATAGTTAACATCATTAACATCTTGGTTCTGGTGACTTATTTTCAGGATGACAACAAAACAATTAGTTTGCCAAAGGTGAGACAAAATATTGTTTTATTTCTGATTACCATTTGTTAGAAGACCTGATTTTGGAACCAGGACAAATATATAACTATGTCAAAAGGACATATTCGAGAAGAGGGCCTGATTTTAGGAACTTGAGTCAAACTTTCATCCAGTGCATGTTGATAAAACAAAACCAGGCCACCCCACGTGCCATCAATTTATCAAAGTTGTGCACTGATGCATGAACTAGTTCAATAGGTAAAATTTCAGATCAGACTCTGTTGTTTCTAAAGAAATTAATGATGTTTTTCTGTAAAACATTATTGGAACAATACTGACATAATTTTGAATTACCCACAATTTGATGATGTTAGACCCAAGACATCCTCAATAATCTCCAGGGTATACGTTACGATAGATCCCCACTAGTACCCTGGATGCATCTACAGCGCGGCCTGATAAGTTTATTACCTCCCTTTGCTGGCTCCGCATTCTCACAGTAGCCAATCAGCTAAGCCACCGTTACAACCGAGCTTGCTAGTGTCAACAAATATAGCAGCCGCAAAGATTTGTTCACATTGTGACTCAGATGTTTGGGGGAGGGGTGGGGAAATCATACAGTCAAATTGACAGGTCTGAAACCTTAAAAAATATATGCAAGAACTCTTTCTACCTCTTTCAGAGTACCTCTGCAACAATTATGTTGCCAAGTTTAATTGGTTAGATGAAAGAAGTGAAAGTGAGTTGTGATTGGTACGCTCAACTTCCCAGCGTAGACACCTGATTGGATAAAAAGTCAGCCAAGGGAGGTAATAAAATCTTGGGGCTGAGCCGTAGATGCATCCAGGATATAGTGGAGATTTATAGTAACATATACCCTGGAGATTATCAAGGATGGACCCAAGAAAGCTTGACAAAGTACACAAAACACCAGGATTAGAGATGTAGTGTGGTATCCAGAGATATGAAGCACAGTGTGTGTTCAGAGAGCAGTGGTGTGTGGAAATGTCAGGATAAGCCAGATATAAATTTGAATTTTCTTTTTCACACTTGTGCATGTAGATATCAGGTTGCACTTTATTTGTTAGGTTGCCTTGGGGCACACTTCATATTGTTAAATCAAGCTTTGTGGAATGATGAGATTATGATTTAAAGGGAGGATCCTTTCCATGGGTAGAAATCATGCTAATATGAATAATTATAGCTTGTTTAAAAAAGACGAGAAGCTTTCAAACCTGCAGGCTTTTGATTAACGGTACATGAAAAGTTTGTGGTCAACAGTGGTGAAGTGATACCAAGATTATCCATGGAGTTACAGAAAATAATATCAGAAATATACATCAATGGTATTGTAGTTGCCAATTTACCTCCCTAAGGTTGACAAGGACATGGATTTAATTTTGATTTCAAATACTTAACAGTAGGTCTTGGTTGACAAAGATTGACATTTCGCCAGATTTAATCTCCAGGTTGATTTCAAATACTTTACTTAACTGGAGTCTGGCTATCAACTAGGGAAACAAACATGTACACAGTAATTCAGATATGTCATTGTCAAGATTTGACTAAAACAACAAAACCAGGTTTGCAATCGATTGCTTGGTCGCTTGGAAAGCTCACATTATTCAGTCTTGTAGTAATTTTAGCTGGTTTGCAAGGGTAGCCACGGTCGTACATTTAACACTCACACAATGTTCTTAGACTACCTTATGTCTATCACTGCAGCCTGTGCTAAAAACATTCAAGTCTACATTCCCATATTTTTAGTAGAGGTAGAGTGACATCATTTCCACTGTTATCAGCTGAGCTTTGTAGGCCAAACAGAAGTTTACTTGACTTCTGACTAGTGGCTAGAATTACAAACTGTCACTATATGATGTCCATATTTGTGATGGGTATTGACCTGATTTATGATTTGAAATTTATTGCAGTAATAATTTGCATATTGAGATACATACCACTATATATTGCATGCATTCTTTCATCTGTAATTTACTATGGATCAGCATCAAAATGGATCCATACATTGCACGTTTCCTCCGCAGACTTCGTAGTCTGAGATTTTGTTGGAGGTTGCTATTGTCACGAAGTATGTGTATGTGTATTTAGACACATACATCATGTACAGAGAAAGTTGGTGGCAAATAATTTCACTTTATTGATCAGAGGAATCTATTTCAAATGTCTGAATTTCATTATTTCAATTCAGATTGTCACTTTAATATGGACACTTTTACTACAAGGTAAAAATGTGCATGATTCTCACAAACAGTATATATTTTGGAATATATACTAGTGCTGTGTCTGAATACGAATCGTATTGCTTTCATAATATGTTTATGTTTCTTATTGTACCCATATGATTGGGATGCATATTGTATTGCCTCGATATCATCAAATCACAGCCTCATTTATCGTTACATCTTTAGAACTAAGATTTGATTTTGATTAGATTGTTCTCATCGTGGTATACCACTGCACCGCTTTTCGGTGTGGAAGTTGTGTAGTTCTACTCCCCCGACTGATAGTTTCAACTTGTGTCATTCTCTGTGTTTGCAGATGCCAACCGTACAGACTCAGAACTTGAGGAATCTCAACTTGACAGGTCATGTTGGGTTCGACAGCCTGCCAGATCAGCTGGTCAACAAGTCGGTGTCTCAAGGCTTCTGTTTCAACATTCTCTGTGTTGGTAAGATCATACAGTTTTCTTAAAGCGCCTCAATTTACAGCCTATTAAAGCTACCTCTAGAAGTAAAAGCGTGGCACCAAAAAGATATTACAAAGCCATTGCAAAACTCTATGACGTAATTTGTGAAATCTTTTGAGATACACCAGCAAAACAATGCCATGTGACGTCATCCTGGCAGCAGGGTTGGTGCTGTCATCGAGCATAACCTCCTTTCAATGATCTGTTATCTCTACAAACCTGTGAAGGTCCGGGTTAGAATATTGGCCTTCAGTTACCCATGCTTGTCGTCAGAGGCGACTAACGTGATCGGGTGGTCAGGCTTGCTGACTTGGTTGACACATGTCATCGGTTCTCAATTGTGCAGATCGATGCTCATCCTGTTGATCACTGGATTGTCTGGTCCAGACTCAATTATTTACAGACCGCCGTCATATAACTGGAATATTGCTGAGTGGCAGCGTAAAACTAAACTCACTCACTATTATCTCTACAGACATAGGTCTTGCAGTATATAAGAATGCACTTTGGTATGTATTACAGCTGTGATGTTAAACTAGTGACCTTACTGGAGGAGGAAAGATAAATCATGTTTACTGCATTGTTTCTCACAGCTCCAAATAAGGCAAGTCCTCTATTTGTGGAAGCCATGGTGGCTGAGCGGGTTAGGCTGTCTTTGTGTGCTGGTGATTATGTGCCTGACTCTAAGGGTGGGGGTTCGAATCCCGGATGGTACTCAACCCAACAAAAGTACTATAATCTGTACTTTACTAAGAAAGTGTAATCCCAAATATAACATATGTTACATTTGACCACTTTCTAAATGGCACTGTGTATTCATATCCTCTGTCTCAGTGCAGACAACTAGTACAGTGAACAATTCTCTCATGCAGCTGATCCCCACATGGGTACAATATGTGAAGTCCATTTCTGGTGTCCCCTGCCATGATATTGCTGGAATATTGCTAAAAGCAGCATAAAACTAAACTCACTCACTCACCCACTCATACAGCTGATTGTTTTCCAAAATGATCTAACGATGGGTTACTGTTTTGCATTGAATAATCAAAAATGGTAAAAGTCCAATAAAGTGTTGTGATGCTATTTGTCCCTAACAAAATCACTTATTTCCTTTCTAGGTGAAACGGGAATTGGCAAATCAACGATGATGGATACGTTGTTCAACACCAGCTTTGATTCCACTCCCAGTTCTCATGATCTGCCAGGAGTAAAACTCAAGGCTCATACATACGGTAATGTTGTGCAGATCGATGATCATGCTGTTGATCACTGGATTGTCTGGTCCAGACTTGATTATTTACAGCCCGCTGCCATATAGCTGGAATATTGCTGAGTGCGGTGCAAAACTAAGCTCACTCACTCACTCACATACGGTGATGTTGGAACAGTAACAACAGTGCTTCAGAAGGCAGTATCATTTGAACTTTAGTATTACATGCTTTTGAAAGACTGCAGTTGTTAGACAATTGTTTTGTCAGCAAAAGACAAAAACGATTTCCTATTAATATTTGGAAAATTTATTTTAAGATCACAAATTATAGCTGGTCATAATTATGGATGAATAAATGAGGGAATATTTCATTTTTAACAAATTATGATGTATTAATTATTAATCTGTTTGATGTATTTGCAATCTGTTATCTGAAGACTTTCTATAATTTAGTATCACATTATTAAAAATTGAAGTTAAGATGAACGTTTTATAAAATTTTATCTGTATACAATATTGATGCAAGAGTATCTATTCCTTTAATTTCCTTATTGAATATTTCCATAAAACTGCAACACATATCCAGGTTTCACTCGATTTGTAAAGTGCTCAGGATAAACCATGGCCTTTCAAAAGTGCTTGATTCTGCCATTTTAACAGTGCTGGAAATTTGTAGACAGTTCTTGAACAGTGCTGGAATGTAAATAAAATTGGTAATATATCAACAATCGAGTTTAAATGTGTTGTTTACTTCCTGTTGCTTACAACATGAATAGAGAGACTTTGGTCGAATTTGGTTTATTTCCTTAATTCCTTTGCACATTGTGTTACTTATATACTCCCCTACTTTATTTGTCATGAGCAACTATATTTTAGTGTGAAAATCTCAAAAAGTGTAGATCTATGCAGTATCTGGTATTGTGCAGTAACACAAGCTGTACAGTGATGCTTCACTAGATCTTCATTATGTATAACAGTGGTCCTTGAAAGTAAATGTAAAATATGCTTGAATTGAAAGATCTGCGTTAACCATGATATACCATTCACACTTGATAACACATAACTGGATTTGGCTGGCTGTAAGATGTGTGATGGACGCTTAATTATCTTATTTAGAATAAAAGCAAGATCTTTCTGGGGGGCAGTGGGGTAGTCCATTTGTAAAAGTGTTCGCTCGTCACGACTGAGACCCAGGTTCATTCCCTACATGGGTACAATATGTGAAGCCCATTTCTGGTGTCCCTGCCGTGATATTGCTGGAATATTGCTAAAAGCAGTGTCTCACTCACTCACTCACTAACCCACACATTGACTCACTCATTCACTTTTACATAAACATGAACAGATATAGATTGCTATTTAAGTGTTAAATTGTACATTCAATGTCTCATGTGTTGATACTTGCAGATCTACAGGAAAGCGGTGTTCGACTCAAGTTGACCGTTGTCGACTCGGTTGGATATGGCGACCAGATAAACAAGGAGGAAAGGTACGCGTGGTTCATCATGTTTTCTCATCCCATGTTTCAATATTTCAGAGCTACAGGAGAAGAATGTGTGTTTAAAACTGACACTGGTAGACTCGGTGGGCTTCGGGGACCAAATAAACAAAGAGGATAGGTGAGATCACGTAGACGGGTGTTGCTTCTAGCTTCTGACCACTAGTGCTTCTTCATACTGTACTCTCATCTCTTGTGACCGTACCTTCAGTACACTGTGTGGCCTTGGACATGTGGAGGTGGTTTGATTCTTGTTTTAATTTTTCACATATTTATGAATGGTTTAGGTGTGTTTGATGTTGTGAATATTATCCTCTCTGTGGTGGAACTACTGTTTTTGTGTGTTGTTTGTTTTGTTGTGTTTGTAGTTCGAAGGGTGGATGTATTTTATCTACCAGTATCGTCTGTGGTAAGTGATGTATTAGAATGAAGGGGTTGATTTTGTGAACACTGTTTTCATCAGCAATACATTTTGTCATTTTCTGACATCGTCAACACTTTAAGGCTTGCATACAATACACCCATCCTCGATAATCTCCAGGGTATACATTCCGATAAATGTCCACTAATACCCTGGATGCAATTATCTGGCCTGATAATTGTATTACTTCCCTTTGTTCGCTCCGCCTTCTCACAGTAGCCAATCTGACAAGCCGTTACAACTGAGCTCGCCAGTGTCACCAAAGATGGCGGCCGCAGCCGCGAAGGTTTGATCACTGTGTAACTTGGATTTAGGAAAAAATCATACAGACAAATTGACAGGTCTGAAACCGTAAAAAAGAACATATGCAAGAACTCCTGCTACCTCTTGACATTACTGTTTACTGAAGAAGTGGAAGAGAGTTATGATAGAAGCCTTGTGATTGGTACGTTCAACTTCCCCGCGGAGACACCTGATTGGATAAGAAGCCTGCAAAGGGAGGTAAGAAATTGATCAGGCCGAGCAGCAGATGCATCCAGGGTACTAGTGGAGATTTATCGGAACGTATACCTTGGGGTAATTGAGCATGCAATACACCTCGCTCCACAATCTTCCATTTATATGTATATTGGTTGTAACAGTGAAGCATGGCTAGTTTTTGTAACCTATTGAGGTGAGGAAATGTGTAACTTCTGGGATTCAACGAGGACCTACTCCATACAACGAGGATCTACTCCATAATAATGCCACCATTGCCCATGATTAAGCTATGAGACAGCCACAAGGCCATGATGTGTGCTGTCAAATAACATTGCCTTTCCCGTGATGAAAGCTGATTGTTCATTGGTCACAGTGCTTCCAGGTTACCCTCTTTCTGGGATCAGGAACGGCTTGTTTCATTGGTTAAAAATAGCAACTACAATGAATAGCAGTTGTATGTATATTTAAGACATGATATACTGTAGATACGTTTCATAGGATATGTTTTTTAGTTTGGTCGAAATCTTGTTTCTCTTTCTTTCACCTTTAGTTATGATCAGTGTTAATATTGTGTTCATTGTAGGTAATATCATTTTGCCTTGAGGATCAGAGTCCCAGATAAGCTGCTTATCCGGGTTAAATATGCATAGAAAATTTCCAATTACGCATTGAACAAATAATTGTTGCGTACCAATTACGCATTTATAATGTTAGATACGCAAAAAATTTAAAACAAATGTGTACGGAATATATTTATAAAAATCGTTTGCATAATGAAAAAGACATCGATTGCTATCAAGTTGTACTGTTAGTATAGGACAAGTGTTGTATTGTCAGTATAGGATGAGTGATTTTTTATGAAATCATTTCCATTATAGTAAAGTTGGTTTTGATTAGGTATGACATAAGGCAGAACATACCTGCTTAGTAAACTTACTCAATGACATATACTTCGGTGTGTAAAATGACTGAAATACGCACATATTTGAAAGTAGTGGGTAATGGAAAATGAAATACCCACTCAACATTCATAATACCCACTCCAAACAAATACAGTGGGTACAGTACCCACATTAGCTAAATCTTATCTGGAGCTCTGGAGGATGGGGAACCTCTTGTTTAGACACTACTGTTCTCTGAGTTGTGTATCTTAGACATGCCAGAATTCAGTGGTAGTGGGTTCAGATCCCAGTTGTGCTGTGGTTTGTCAGCACCAAACATGTGCTCATCAATGTAGTAAAGTGGTAAACATCTAGGATCTGCATCCCCTCAGGCTTTCCTCCCACGACAGATGACACACCATGAAATGCGGTTCAGAGCCAGCCTAACCTACTCATGTTGCCTTGGACCTCCATTAGCTGGCTTGCCATGCTTTTCCCCTTAATGCCAACAGTATAATGTAATCATGTGGTCAGTTTTTAAGATATTTTCAGATTTCATTGGATATGAACAACATTGATTGACCAAATTCACTGCAGATATGTTTTTCAGTCATGTTATTAGTGCACAGAAAATATCAGCTTTGGAGTTTCTTTTTATAAATTGTCTTCCACTGTTGAATATTTGAATTATCCATTCTTATTCTTCTGTTTGGATCAGTAGCATATCTGATATTGAATAATACTTACTGTTTTTTCATACATATATCTTTAGCATGATAACATGAATATATCACACTGCACAGATCTGGTGTGTATTGCACCTTCATTACCCATGTATACCAGGTTCTCCGCACCAGTCAGTGATCACTTGACAAGGGACACGTTTAAGTACAAAACTGCTCATCGTTGCGTGTCCTAGATATGTATGTCTGTCAAGACATCCAAGTGTCATTGTAACACCTTGTTAATTTACATAGTCCACATTTCCTGGTAGGGGTGGTGGGGTAGCCCAGTGGTTAACGCATTTGCTTGTCAAGCAGGGGTGGAAATAACTATAAAATTGCTAGTGTACTCTGGTACAGTGGCGATAAAATCACTTGCCTTGATAAGCCCTATAATTTTCTTGTTGATTTTTTAAATAAACCATAATTAACATTGGAAAGTCAACTGGACACGGTACAGTGTGATAACAAATTTGCTTGCCCAACAGAAAAAACACTGGACTCGGTGTCCAACGCATATTTCCTCATGTCACCCATTTGTGGTGGCCCCGCCAACTACTGTAAAACCCAAAGTTTGGGACTCCTCATTTCCCAGTTACTGACAAAGTGTGTCCTGTGTCAGGTGATCAGCAACAGATAGGATCGTGGGAGGTTTCATGGTCTGGAATATGGACTTCTGTTTAGATGTACAGTTGTATGTCAGACATGTGTACAGTACAGTTCCTGTGTGTATTTAACACTAGATGTTGGTGGACGGAAGTAGTGACAATAATTTGTAGCTGTTTAACATTTCTATCATTTCAAAATTCTTATTATTCTTTTCATATTATCATTTCTTAGATGTTATTATTATTTAGAAGTTATTTAAATCATTTTAGCTGATCCTAGTAATTTTAGTTAGTTTTTATCAAATATTATGTCAGATTGCGGTGATTTTGCATTTCTTACCAAAGGTTACTTTGTTCTTTGTAAACCTGATGGAGACCCTGATCAGGAAAGGCCTCCATCACTCTAATGAAAGACATGAGTTGACTTAATTGTGGTCAGATTCTGAGACTTGGTTGAATGTCATAATTGGCTGAGTGATTCATGAAAGTCTGTCACAGACTGTCCGAGATTGTATTTCTTGTCAGAACAACATATCAAATAAATCTTGCATACATGTTACAATTATCATTCTAACGCATATTCCTTTCCAGGAGACTTGCAGCAGATATTATCTTCATTATTCAAACTGATATGTCTAATGTGACTGTTTTATCATCATTTCCTTTTGCTCCACAAAACAGAAGTTTCAAGTTATGTAGTGAAGTGGGTGTGCAGCATTTGCAGGATGTTTGCACCCCTCATATGAAATAGTGAACCATTACCAGTACCCTCTATCACAATATCAGTGTTGGTGCAAATCATGTGCGATCGTCTTCTGCAATTCTGACCCATGAAGATCTGGGTTATGATTGGTCTTCAGCAACCCATGCTTGTTGTAAAAGGTGACTAACTGGATAGGGTGATGGGCTTGCTGACATGGTTGACACATGTCACCGTATCCTAATTGCATAGATCGATGCTCAAACTGTTGATCACTGGATTGTCTGGTCCAGACTCAATTATTTACAGACCGCTGCCATATAGCTGGAATATTGCTCAGTGCCGCGTAAAAATAAACTCACTCACTCACTCTGCAATTCTGCAACTGTACCCCTGCTTCCTGTCTCAACACAGTTTATCCTTACAAGCCTAATTGATAGGCATGGTTAAGATATCTTTCAGGAATAAATCCCTCAAGCGAATGGTAAGATGCAGTCATTGTGAGGGTCATGTTGCACCAGTGCAAACACATGTGGTCCTGGTTGATACTGACGGGAACATATTCCATAAAGGGAGATAATTGTTGTTTCCAGCTGGAAGTCCATCGTAGACTACATCGATACCAAATTTGATGCATACCTCCAGGAGGAACTGAAGATCAAACGCATGCTCCACAGTTACCATGACAACCGCATTCATGCTTGTCTCTACTTCATTGCTCCAACAGGACACTCGTGAGTATCCCTATGTTTGTCAACTCTCTCAATACCATCGATACACAGGACAGGTATCCCTGGAAAACTAAGAGTCTCAATACACAGGCAATATTGTGGGAGCAGTATTTTCCTAGTGGGCAGCAGTATTCTGGAAGTAGGTTTCTAAGATTATTTTAGTAGCAGTTTTCATAAGAAGCAGTATTCTGGGAGCAGCTTTCCTAGTCTGCAGTAATCTGGGAGCAGCTTTCCTAGTCTGCAGTAATCTGGGAGCAGCTTTCCTAGTCTGCAGTATTCTGGGAGCAGCTTTCCCAGTGGGCAGTATTCTGGGGCAGCAGTGGCTTTCCCTAGGGGCAGTATTCTGGGGAGCAGCAGTATTCCAGGGCTTTCCCAGTGGGCAGTATTCTGGGAGCAGTTTGCTGGGAGCAGCTTTCCCATGTGGGTGGGCAGTATTCTGGGAGCAGCTTTCCTAGTGGGCAGTATTCTGGGAGCAGCTTTCCTAGTGGGCAGTATTCTGGGAGCAGCTTTCCTAGTGGGCAGTATTCTAAGAGCAGCTTCCCTAGTTGGCAGCATTCTTTTCCTAGTGGGCAGTATTCTAGAGGGGGCGGTATTCTGGGGAGCTTTCCTAGTCTGCAGTATTCTGGGAGCAGCTTTCTAGTCTGTGGGCAGTATTCTGGGAGCAGCTTTCCCAGGGGGCAGTATTCTGGGAGCAGCTTTCCCAGTGGGCAGTATTCTGGGAGCAGCTTTGGGCAGTATTCTGGGAGCAGCTTGCTAGGGCAGTATTCTGGGAGCAGCTTCCCAGGGCAGTATTCTGGGGAGCAGCTTTCCCAGTGGGCAGTATTCTGGGAGCAGCTTTCCTAGTGGGCAGTATTCTGGGAGCAGCTTTCCTAGTCTGCAGTATTCTGGGAGCAGCTTTCCTAGTGGGCAGTATTCTGGGAGCAGCTTTCCCAGTGGGCAGTATTCTGGGAGCAGCTTTCCTTGTGGGCAGTATTCTGGGAGCAGCTTTCCCAGGGGCAGTATTCTGGGAGCAGCTTTCCTTGTGGGCAGTATTCTGGGAGCAGCTTTCCTTGTGGGCAGTTTTCTAAGAGCAGTTTCCTAGTGGGCAGTATTCTGAGGCAATTTTCCTAGTGATCAGTGTTCTGGAAGTTTTCTTTGTGAAGATTATTCTAGGAGGAGGGGCGGTAGGGTAGCCTAGTGGTTAAAGCGTTCGCTCGTCACACTGAAGACCTGGGCTAGATTCCCCACATGGGTACAATGTGTGAAGCCCATTTCTGGTGTACCCACCATGATATTGCTGGAATGTTGCTAAAAGTGGCATAAAACTAAACTCACTCACTCACCCAGTGCTGTCTGTATTCATGACATTATTTTGACACACTTGGTTTCCCTTCAGGCTTAAAGCGCTAGATCTGGTCACAATGAAGAAGCTAGATAGCAAGGTCAACATCGTACCTGTTATCGCCAAAGCTGATACCATTACCAAGACCGAGCTCCACAAGTTCAAGGCAAAGGTAAGATTAAGAAAACGTATTGTCAGATGTTAACTGAGTGAAGTTAGTTTTTAAATGACCCACATTCTTGGTAATTGGCCCCAAAATAGGGATTTCTTAGAGTATCTGATTTTTAATTAATTTCATGGTATTTCAGCATGTATTCATTGCATTGATGTAAATCTATGGTACATTTGTATTACTGAGATGACAACATGCTATTTTCAGAGAAATGGTTTGCAGTCCAATAAAGTTTCATTGTATTGCGATGTATATAGTATGACCAGAAACGTGTGGAATACACAATGCCATTTAGAAAGTGGTCAAATGTAACACATGTAATATTTTGGATTACACTTTATCAGTGTGCTGGTGAGTAGGTGCCTGACTCTGATGGTGTGGGTTCGAATTCTGAAATGAACTCAACCCAATAGAAAATACTAGAATCTGTACTTTACTGAGAAAGTGGAATCCCAAGTATACCATATGTTAGAAACATGTGGTTCTACTGGAAATCCTGACGTTTTCTGTGGTTATTTCTTGAGTGTAGCCTAGCTGAGGTGGTCCTGTATGTTGCAGATTATGAGTGAGCTGATGGCCAATGGAGTACAGATCTACCAGTTCCCCACTGATGACGAGACAGTAGCTGAGAACAATGCTTCTATGAATGTAAGGATTGAAATAATATAATAAACTTAGTGGGTAAAGGTATATTGTATATTTTAAATATTGGATACACTTCAATTGATCTAATCATGAGAATAATCAATCACGATACTGCATTCTGTTTTTTGACCTTGGAGTGAGTAAGCACAGAGTTGTCTTTAGATTTACTTAATTAAGATGTATCTAAGTTATTCTATTGGGTGCATCTTCTCCTCTGCAGAGTCACCTCCCCTTTGCTGTGGTTGGCAGCAATGATGAAGTGAAGATCGGAAACAAGATGGTGAAGGCAAGACAGTATCCTTGGGGGACAGTGCAAGGTAGGTTGCCTACTTCATGGAAGCTGGAAAATTCTTTGTTCACATCACAATCTTCATCAGTGAAAGACCAATTCCTAGACTTGATGGCAGTGGAGTAGCCAAGTGATTAAAGCATTCGCTCGTCATGTCGACAGCCCGGGTTTGATTCCCCACATTTGTACAATGTATGAAGCCCATTTCTGGTGTCCCCCGCTGTGATATTGCTGGAATATTGCTAAATGTGGCATAAAAATGAACTCACTCACTCGCCCTAGATTTTATTAAAGTGTTTTATGTATGGGGCTGGATCTGGAACATAGAAAATATGCTGATCATTACTGGAGGTTGTTACACAAATTGGATGGTTGTGTCAATATACCACAGATACGCAACTACCAGTATCACGAGTGGAAGGAACTGACTTTGTATTTGACATATGTGTCTGTGTGTCGTCGGCGCTAAGTCAGGCTAGGTAAAGTCATGGAGGTGAGGCAGAAGGCTTCTACCACATTTAAAGTTGCATGACTTGGTTGATACGATTGTCTGGTCCAGACTGAATTATTTACGGACAACCATCCCTTAAACTGCAGTATTGCAAACGAATGTTTAACATTTTTAAGACTTTCTTTCATCAGATCACCTCAAACATTACTGGGTTGATGTGCTTTGTTTTATGTAAAGTATTATTTTTTGACGTGTGGAGAGACGATATTTATGTTGTGCTTTGTACCTTTCAGTTGAAAATGAAAACCACTGCGACTTTGTGAAACTTCGCGAAATGTTGATCAGAACAAATATGGAGGACCTAAGGGAGACAACTCATAAGCGTCATTTCGAGCTGTACCGCAGACATAAACTGGAAGACATGGGATTTTCAGACAGTGACGCAAAGAGGTGAGAAAATTAAACATTTGTTTTACACTCCACGAAAAGAATGAAACGTTTGTAACTAGTTGTAAACTTTCGAGAGATACATAAGGATCCGTCTGATATTCTGTATTCATATATTTGGTGATGCTGCCCCAGTCAGCCTGATGTGTTGTTCGCCGAGATACTGACATGGTGTTTGTCCCCAGTCTGTCGGAGACATATGAGCTGAAGCGCCAGCAACATATCAGCGACCTGCAGAAGAAGGAGGAGGAGATGAGGCAGACGTTTGTCATCCGAGTCAAGGAGAAGGAGGCTGAGCTCAAGGAGGCAGAGAAGGAGGTAAGCGGAGGGTGTAGCCAGCACCAGTCCTGTGGAATGAGATAGAAATGAGACATTTGTCTGTACCTTGGAAAATATGTTCCGGACATTTGCAATAAAAATCGGTCAAATTTTCAAGTTGAACACTATATTAATTATAACAATGATACTGTTATGTGAAACTGATAAAACAATTCCCCATATGCACCCTTAGAAAAGTGTGAATTCTGCTCATAGTGCTAGAGACATCATTAAATGTTGCCTGAGAACTACTGGCAAACAAGGATAAGTTGAGCACCGACCTGACAGTTGACCCGTATTAGCATGTATGAGTGCCGCCCACTGGCGCTTACCATTGTGTGTGAAATGGGCCCCAGGTTTTCTGCGATCAAGTGTAGTGCTACACTGACCACCTGAGAGTCTTATGAGCAAGGCGTGTGCAGCTACGCGCAGAATCAATTTCATCATCATGCACTGCACGTTCACTAGCCTACATCTGCTCTACCTTTCACAACCAAATGGGTTTGCTCATTGCCGTGCCCCGCTACTTCTCGTAAACGCGTTCTCTGCACCTGTCCAACTTATCCTTGTTTGCCAGTAAGTGGTGTCCAGTCATTGACTACAGTAAACATCATGTCCTTTCAGCTCCATGCTCGCTTTGACTCATTGAAGAAGCAGCACGCAGATGAAAAGAAGAAACTAGAGGATCGCAAGAAACAGTTAGACGATGAGATGAATGTTCTCCAACAGAAGAAGGCTCAATACCAAGCAAACCAATCCACCATGGGCAAGAAGAAGAAGTAAGGGAGATAACTCTCATCTCCACCTGTAGAGGGAGCAGTTGGGAGGGGTTCAAGTCAAGCAGACGGGCAGTCTGATATTGAAGGTTGAAGATCTGTAGATCTCTACACTGATGATTCAACGAACAGACATTCTTTCCTGATAGGGAACGATCTGTCTATGAATATTCAGTTAGCATGGACAATTAATACAGATTATCTTAATTTTGCTGAAGTTTCTTTCATTTCATTTCATATGATCCTCCAATCAAATCTATTTTTTAATGATTTTTTTAAAGATTTCAATTTTTCTTGAAACTCAGGATTTAATTTTTCTCAGTTTACTAATCTATCATTTGAATCAGTGCATGCAACATTCTACATAAACAGGAACACTTACATATAAGTGTAGAGGCACTGCCCAATTTTCGTTTTCGGTGCTACAGAATGTGTGGGCTAATTGTACACGTGTTTGTTTGTCCTTACGTCTTCAGACTGACAGATCATGCAAGACAATATTGCACGGAACCCATATCAAATGGCCTCAATGAGCACTACCAGTGTGTCTATGCATACATTCAGATATGCTTTGACTTGAATTCCTGCTCAGATTTTTTTACGACCAAGTCAGGCCATACAAACTACATAGTCATGAATTTACTTATTAGGTTTTGTATGCATGTTTGTAACAATTCCTTTGTTGGAGCTACGTCAATCATTTGTAATCCATTTATAATCTTGCCACCGGTAAATGGCTTGTATCTAAGTGCATTTTAATCTTCCAGTTGTGCTTAATGTTTTCTTGACATTACCATGTAACTTATCTTTCAAACCCGGAGACTGCATTTGCTGTTATTTTTACTATCACAATCAGGCATCAATCATGCTTTGGGTTTAGTTGTATTTTGAACAGTAGTATTATTATTTTTATAAGTTATTTTTCACATTACATACTAGGCAACAGAGTGATTCTGTCATGGCAACTCTTCACGCAGCCATTACTGTCCCTGTAAATTGTATCTGTATTACCATGGTAACCATATGTCATCGTCTCCTCAGGGCATCATTGTTGTCATGGTTACAATAAACATCATCCAACAAGTGCAATATTGCAATATATCTTGAATATTTAGCTATGAAATGCTCATACAATGTAGGTATGACATACTATCTGCTACTACTAAATATATTGGACATGTTGCTTGTTCCAATAAAGTACACCTTAAAATCAGGTCGGACAATTTTTGAGAGCATATCAGCAGATTCCTGAAATTGTGAAAATTGGCTTGGTCCTACCCTTGAGTATTTTCATTAATCCATGTGGTATGAAAATCACCACCACATCTTTGACAAGTTTACCACCTCTTGTCATTGTTTAAGAAATAATTATCATAATTTTGCTTTGAAACCCTTCTAATAACTCTAATGTGACAACCACCAGCGTGTTTTGGGGAATGTAAAATAATGATAGTGCTTGTGATAGTTTATAATGCTTCAGCTGGAGGTATAAACGATTCATTGTTTAGCTATGACCTGATACTGTACGTTAGAACAGAGTGATTAAGGATAAGAGGTATAACCTTTATTGTCTAACAGTGATATATGCTACTAGTCCAGTAGACACCAGACATGACCGGCAAACAGTCTCGGCCTTGTAGACTTGTAATCATGTCAGTCTCATTTGAATTAGATCAAAGATGGATACCCTAATTCAGGACAAGTCAAATTGTTTTGTTTTATTGTGAGATAAGTAATATGCTTTACTGTTAACCTTTCCTAATGTATCTTTCTCTATTTTAGTGTAATTAAATTAAAATAATTAGTTTAATAATCATTTAAGCTGTAAATGATAATTTACATTATAAGTGTTTGTAAATAGAATGTGTCAGCTCTTCACATAGAATAACACAAGCTCTTTGCTTCATCAGAGCTTAATAACACTATGAAGTTCAATTTCAGTTATGCAATGAATAGTAATATTAATGTATTCTATCAGATATTTAATAATTTGTTTGCCTACTAGAATGTAAATTAATTTCTGTATTTATGCACCAAACGTAATGTAATGCATGTGCCTCATTTATCCCTGTGTTTGTGTTTTGTACCTATGTTATATCGGACCAACACTATCTAGATGTGTGGGAACAGCTGGGTTCTGTTCTGTAGGCTATATCCTGTTCTGTTGGGCCAACTGTGGAAGCCAGCAAAGTACAACTGGAATTTCAAACAAAACCTAATTGTCTTACAGTTACATGTAAGAAATGTAATTACAGATTTTCATATATTATAAAATACATAAAAGTAAATAATATGAATCAGTTTGATTAGTGGAAGAAGTCAGTGGGTTTGGTTGGGGTTTGTTTTCATTTTAGTTTGACCAAACCTAGGTTTTAGTTTAAGATCAGGGCTTCCCCAACTTGTAATTTGGCAAGTTTAGAAATGAAAGATGTTAGTGCCCGTTACGTTCTGTAATTGTTCTATTATTTTGCTATGATACAACCGTCAGACAACTGACGTTTTCAGTGGAATATGCAATAGTGTGTTTGAATCTCAACTTAAAATCTAAACTACCTATATCACCTGTATAACTGTTATGGTCACATAAGTGTTAGAATCATGTGGAGAAATGCCAGATAATTACTTGATAACGTGATGGTAATTTTTCAAATTGGTTGCAAACAAATAGTTTTTCCCACATAGTTGCAGTATCTGAATAGAATCATTTCAATTCACTTTATGATGACACAGCATGCATTTTATAAATAAACTTTTTTACTTATGTGCCAGTGATGTGTTTGAGTCCTTATTGAAGAAGACGTCTCATGAATTCTGCCTCCGCAACCAAAGCCTGGGCTCTACTGGGAGGGATGCTAATATTGCTATTGTAATCCATGTATTAGCAAATCAGCTGTTCCAGGGACTGTCGTTGAACGCAGTTACTGCATTGTAGCTGTACTTAATAAGCTTGTCCCAGCATGAACCATCTCAAACAGTTGGTGAAAAAGTCGGTAAATGAGATCTTGCCTGGTATAGGATACTTGTCTGGAGGAAGGTCGGAGGACGTCTACTTCTGTACATTGGTGTGTCAGGTGAACTGTCTAAATGGCCAATCAATGTTGATGCTTATAGATTCCCGGTATGGTGCATTCGGATAAGTATATATCATTTCTGGATATTGAAAATGAATGGCGTTACAAATGCAGAAACATGAATTCACGCTTTATTATTGTGGATGTGCCCTTTGTTAGCAGGTGTAATGGCCATTTCGTTCAGGGTTCATCAGAAGCCACATGAGAAAGTGCAGTCAGGTCTCTATTTAGAGAGGTAGAGGGCAACCATATGACAAAGATCTGATTCAGATGAGATTGGAATCCAACCATCCAGAAAAATGACATGCATACTGTCGATTGAGTGAATACTACCTACTGATACACATTTATACATGTAAATGGGGAGGGACAGGAAGAAGGGGAGGGTAGCTTTTGTATTTGGTCTTTGCAAGAGGGTCATGTAAAACATTTACTAGTACGACATTTACTTTGATTTTAACTTATATTAGGAAAGGATTGAGCACAATATTTCACAACTTTGGAAGCCCTCTCCCGAAAAGAAAAACATTAAATGATTAGCATTATATACTATTATAACTAAAACATATACAAAGATTAGAGGATAAGTAGGATAACATCACAAGTGAGGTGTGTTCAAATATGACGACATAGGGGTTGGGAGATGAGGTGTAGGGTGTATGTCATTGTAAGAGCATCGACCAGACCTATCGTCATGGAAGACGAGCCCTAAGTCTTGAGCTGATGGAGATCTTTGCCCAGTGCCCCTATTAGACAATAACAATAAAGTTTGAGAAAAAACAACATATACTGGACAAAATAAGTTAGGGATATTGGTATTGTTAAGGTTGATATTTTATCAATGTGTCAATGAATAAATAGATCACTATTCACAATTTCAAAATTTACGTATATCCCTAACTATTTTGTCCAGTATATCTAAAAGCTTCTCTCGAATCTTGCAAAAATACAAATGGAATCTGTGCAATGACCCAATACTAGTAATTTCTGAATTTTCAGCTTATGCCAGAGCACACACGAACAGTATCATGTAACAATAATACAATGCAAAGGCCAGTGAACTCGAAAGGGTTGACACATATTGCATCAATGGTAGAGGCTGCCTCCCACTTATCAGACGCCCCAGGTGTAAGGCAGCTTATACCAGGATTATTTAACGTTGTTTAGTCAAGGAATATTTTCCTGTTTACCTGTCATGAAAGTGGAGCAGACCAGAAAACGCACATTTGAAGGAAATTACTGGATAGATCTATTGTGCACTTTTGGGGCGGTGGGGTAGCCTAGTGGTTAAAGCGTTGGCTCGTCACGCCGAAGACCCGGGTTCGAATCCCCACATGGGTACATTGTGTGAAGTCCATTTCTGGTGTCCCCCGCCGTGATGTTGCTGGAATGTTGCTAAAAGCGGCGTAAAACCAAACTCAGTCAGTCAGTATTGTGCACTTTTAACCAGGGGGAGACAACTCAATTGCGCCTACTGTGTAGCATGTACCAACTAACACACTTGACCACTCTAACAGCCCAATGCTCCCTCATAGCCCAACTCCACGTTATTTAGGAAATACAGTTCGCTCTACCACCATGTATTATGTAATAAAGTACACTTTTGCCCTGAACTATTATTGTTAAAGTACGAGGACGCTTGGTAGCACATGTCCAAATTTTGGGAGACATCTTTACCATGCCTACTACAGTCTGCGTCAAAATGATACCTATGAATCACAATCTAATTCCAAATCTGTTCATGATCAAACATTCATTTCAACGCAGAATGTAATGAAAACATCAGACTAACTCTGGAAAAGGTTTCATAATGTTTGTCTCCAAAATTAAAAAAGGTACTTAACAAACTATCATCATTTTGTTTTAATTTTCCGTGTGAAGTTGTAGGAGGGTAAAAGTAGTACTTTATGCGGTTAAAGAAATTCGTAACTAATTTGAAACTGCTGAAATCCAATATGGCCGCCGAACAATTCACATTTTGACATGCATCAAAGAACACAAATTGTTAAGCACACCAAGTTACTACATACTGCCAAATTCTAACAAAGGATCTTAAATAATGATGAAGATGTGAATTTTTGAAAACAAATTTTTGGTGAAAATAAACAACAGAAGCAAACATCAAAATATGAATAACTGATCAAGATATCCAAAAAAAAAGTTATAGATTATCCATGTTGGAGGTATAGACACAAAGTCTGCAAATTTTCAACGTTCTGCAGCTCATACATTCAGAGCTACAGATTGCGGAAGATGCCAACCCCGCCAAACCCTGTGACTTTTGACATATGACTAAGGACAGACATTGTTCAGCAACCACATGCGACATCAGAACCAGCTTCTTCAAGTCCTTCCCCTGGTAAGTATGGTTTGTAAAAACTAGCGAAGAAGTCTTTTTACAAAGAACTTTGGCCCAGAAGTAACGGGAAATTATACTGTATAAGATTTAGAATTTAGGTTTTTAATGTCAGTTTTTACTGTAATGATTAGCTGAACTTTATAGTGATCTTTGTCATAATGTGTATTCTTCTCTGTAGGAAACACCGTTAGTTTTTTCTGGCTGCGAATAACGTCAGTATTGCAATAATTCAATTAAACAATATTGAATCACTGGCAAAGTGTTGGCGGTACAACGCCAGTAAGAACATTACAAATACGGTTTCTGCTAGAGTAACGCTTAGTCTCTGAATATATACTACAAACAAAAAGTATGGGAACACATGATGAGGTCATTTATACTCTAAGGTCAATGCAACTTTTTGTGTGTTTACTTCGCACTTTAAACGACATGTTGGAACATGAAGTGAAGCCACTGATTCAATATTCGTTGAGTTTGAGTGAAATGAAACAATGTCAAAAACAGCGGAAAACAGGGGTGCTGAAACACACCAGCACCATGTTTGATTCAAACGCCCCAACACAACAGCCTAGTGCATGTGGAAGACAGACTTCCCATGCAGCTTGTGGCAACTGGGCACTGGCAGTTGTGAATCGGACATGTTCCAACATGTCGTTTATAGTGCCCATTAAACACACAAAAAGTAGCATTAAATGACCTCACCACGTTTAAGTATATATATGACTATCAAATTTTGAGGTGTTCCCATACTTTTTGTTTGTAGCATATAATTTTGATAGTAACAAACAAGCCCATTCAAACTGAAAAGGAGCCCCAGGGAGACCAGAGATTCAGACCCTGAACCCGAGGAAATCTAGACTTGCTTTATTTAGGGTTTTAGCATTGCGGAGAGGGTTTGGCAGTAGGGAAAATAATGTGGTTCAGGGACTGTGAGTCAGACTAGGTTTCTGCTTGCTGGTCGTATTTACATATTTATTGAATCGTAAAACAACGCTACTCACATGGTAATATAAGAACTGCCACAGGTGAAACTAAATAGTACCTGTGTAATCAGGGAAATAATATATTTGAATAGAGTCTATTGCCCGGTATGTTTTATATCTAACAAAATGAACTTGTCACATAAAACATCGGGCGAAATCTCCAGGTATATTTCATTTATCCAAACTGTGAATTTTTAAATAATTCAATAATCAATTTGTCATTCCTTGTCTAAACATTCCAGAATATGGAATATTTTATGTTAAAACATTAGGAAAAGTACCCCAAATCGTTTTTCATTCTTCATGTGTTTTGAATAATACAAGGAATTCAGCATTTTCAGAATTTAGTTTTGAGGAGGGGTCGGGCTAGTTCTCAAAACTTAAGAAATAGGATTTTTATCCCCAAGACAACTTAGGTATTGGCAGTCATCGGATCTTTGCATGCAACATATCAAGTTACAATCAAGTTGTTTTTGCACGAAAAGATATATTGTTGTTTTATGCCGCAGTGAGCATCATTTCAGCAATCCTGTTGCAAATAGGTTGAGAGTTTACACAGCGTTGTCGCTGATCAGAATGGCACTCAATCCTAGTTTTGAAGAGGTTATAAACGTGTGTAGCAAGCTGTTATTGCTTCATTGTATCTTTATGTTCATTATATTTTAGCTGTAAAGTAGGTCACGTGTTCTACTTTCATGCAATAACGGCAGGTGACACCGTGATATTTGTTTTGTTTGTTATCCGTTAAGCATGCTCTAGCAATACTCCAGCTGTATGGTGGCGGTTTGTAAATAAGTGCGTCTAGACCAAACAATGCAGTTACCAAATAAAATATTGCTTCCATTCAGTAGGCTATTTGTTAGGTTTCATTATATACTCTACTAAATCAGTGGAAATATCTGACGGAGTTCAGCTGATATTCCTACAAAATGAACATCAAATATGAATTTCACATGTATGCATGCATCAGGAGTGATTTTTTGCAGGTAGAAAAAAGGACGGCTACAAAGTGGAGGAAACGCAATTTAAGCGCAACCATGCAATAGCGTGGCGCCCAAACGCACCAACATGGAATGAAAGCGCAACCTGAATTGTTGGCAAAAATCCCGATGAGTTTTGATTTGTATATCGTGGCAACTGTACATCAAGTTTGTGAGAACACCACTACCAGAAAAAAGAACGCAACACCATCGGCCGACTGCAGACAGGCGACTCGACGTCGGCGGAAGCCAGGTTGTTCCACGTAAGCACCATTACAAGACTGTGGAACGTATGGGTCAATGCGTGACCTATCTGGTCGACAGCGTGTTACAACAATTTCAAACGGGTTCGTCACTTACTTGAAAGATTCACCACGGTCGCATGTACCGCTACAGCAATGCCAAAATTACGTACGATTTCAGCTCAGTCCCCGTTGCACAAAGCTATTGCACACAGCGCAACGACTGTCGTACCTCCTATCCTGTAACTAAGACTTACGACAGTCGTAGCGCTACTGTAGTTCTGTGAAACGGTGCCCAGACAGTTGGGAACAGCGCCGAGACGACCAGTTCAAGGCGTCATTCGGACTGATCAGCGCGACGTCAGGTGTCAAGGTCACAGGGTATGTCTTTCTTTTCGTGAGTAATGTCCTGAAAGTTCTGTTCCCATCGATTTCCTTTCATTGTTGGTTGGTTTGTTGTTTTAACGATATTCCTGGTGTATGGCGGCGGTAGGTATGTAATCGAGTGATCAACAGCATTTCAGTAACGAAGTAGGAGCTACTATATTGCAAATTCAACCTTGGTTTTTGTTTAAACTGTGTCTGTAAACTATCGTTTCAGAAATTCTTCAAAATTAGGAATGCCACCCTACGGACACGGATGTGCCGCTACTGTGTGCGGCACGTGCTGCTGCGTATGATTTGGTGTCACTGTCGTCATCGTTCTTGTATATGGTGTTTTTGTCTAATCTAAAACCTACGATACGTTTTATTTGGGATTACACTTTCTTATCAAAGTACAAATTGTAGTACATTTTGGGTTGAGTCCCATGCGGGATTCGAACCCACACCCTCAGAGTCAGACACCTAAGCGCCAGCACGCAGAGTCAGCCGCCTAAATCTGTTTTTGACGTGTGTTTTTACGATCCCTTACGTTTATAAAGGTCACATGCAACGTAAAACACAGCTTTGCAGATTCTGATACCTTTCGGTATGGACTTACAGTAACAAATGATCAATAATGCAAATTCAGCTTATAAAGTTGAAAATAACGCGATGAAAAAACCCCGCGAAATCGGAGTTCAAACGATTCACTAAATTCACCCCAGCTGGGGTGAAAAGTGGTTTCAACAGCTGTGCTGCACTGCGCTCATGGCGCATGCGCAGTGAAAATGTGTCTGCCAGTCTGTCTGCTAATCTGTCTCTGTCACATTATGTAATTACGCAGACAGGCAGGTGTGATACTTGTACACATGACATGTTATGATGTCTGTTGATTGCAAAATGTTATACGCAAAAAAATGAGCATGTATTTACAAAACCCAACATCTCTATGCACACATACGCCGCCATATAGCTGGAATATTGCTGAGTGCGGCGTAAACCTAACCTTACTCACTCACTATACATATAAAGAGTGTATCGGCAAATGAACCAGCCAATGAAAGACTTCGTTACACTTGAGTGCACGCCCACCCGCTCTGACTGGGTTCGGTATCCCGGGTGCTTCGTTTCGAGGGAAGTAAACCCAAGTACAAAATATTGCACTATTGATTTGCGATTGACCGCTTATAAATTTGTTTATTTGTTGTTGTTTTTCATAATCAGCAATGTATTATATGTCATGAATAAGTGATAATTGTGTTTTAATTATGTTTATTATTTTGGTTGCATGTGACCTTTAAAGAATATGTTCTAAACATATTGTGAATGAACCAGAAACCATCGTTAACATCAGATGTGTCAAGTTAAACTTGACTACAAGAGAACAAATATACATATAGCTTTGCACATTAAATTATGTATGGAACGAATATCACTTTACTACTTTTAAGTCCCGAGAATATGTATTTTTCCACGAAATTAGGTGCAAAACTACACCATTCGCCATATGCATTTCACGAATTTACAAAATATGATAACATGTGAGCGGATGCTTGGTGCTTTAAACAGTATTTCTATAATTTCAGGTTAATGTTGCAAAGGTGAAGTGAAGTCATTGGAAATTGAAAACTTGTTTGAATCCAGGACCGCTGTCCATAAGAATGAGGCAGCTTTTATTCCCCACAAAACATGGAAGTCAAAGAAAATGTCACAAATGGCATAAACAGAATCACAAAATGTTCATTTAACCAATAAATATATACATCCCACAAAGTACAAGTTTCCTACATTACCAAAACCACTTTCTGTCTCGAAACGGTATTTTCTTCGTGATAATGGGAGTTAATCTTAGAATCTGGCGCGAGTTCTAAACGACGGTTCTGTTTGGGCGAGCGGTCTCAAGAGAAAACAAGAACAGCTGAGTGGCATCCTATTCAGCGCGGACGAACTTAAATGAAAAATACAAATCATGAAAAAAGCGGCACTGGCACTACCTAGTGTTATAACTCTTGCTATAATGAGCAAGGGGAATAACATGATCTATAAAAATCTACATTTTACGAACCACAACATTTAAATGCATATTATTACAACCATACATCGATAGTGTAAAATCAGACATGTTAAAAAAATATAAGGCGAAGACGGTGCTAAATATCGTTAACTCTCCCATCCCCAAAATAAGTGTAATTTTAATGAGAAAGTAATCCTCTTTTTAAATTCAAAGTCACGAATTCATTTACACAGAATATAAAACCTATCCATATTGTACCTCACCCATCAAGTCCACCACGTCCATCTACCATTCACCCATTAGGTCCACCTTATCCAGCCATCTATCCATCAAGTCCACCTTATCCATCCATCAAGTCCACCTGATCCATCCACCCATTAGGTCCACCTTATCCATCCATCCATCAACTGCACCCTATCCATCCACTCTCAAGTCCACCCGATACACTTGATTCATCCGCCCATCACGTCCACCTCGTCTAACCGACCATCAAGTCTCTCCATCCAGTTAATGACCCTCGAAGATCCGGGTTAGAATTAATCCTCAGCAACCCATTCTGGTGGTATGAGTCGACTAACGGGATCGGGTGGTCAGCCTCGCTGACTTGGTTGACACATGTCATCGGTTCCCAATAGCGTAGATCGATGCTCATGATATTGATGACTGGATTGTCTGGTCCAGACTCGATTATTTCCAGATGGCCGCCATATAGCTGGGATATAGCTGAGTGCGGCGTAAAACAACCAACCAACCAACCAACCAACCATCCAGTTCGTTCACCTAGCTCATCCACCCAACTGAACTCTCCCTTTTATCTTGTTATGGCATCATATATATATCCCCAAACACACCCCGTTATACCGCCAATAACGTCTCCGCAACATACATTGCTATGAGAACGACAGGACGGATAAGTCTACGCTAGGTGGTGATCCACATAATTTCATTATAGCCAGTCCACATCGTACTGGCGTGCTTCGGTGTAAGGCCACTGCCTGAAACCCTGGCATTATAACGAGGTATGATCGTTGGTCACGCCTCATCTCAAGCTTTTTTAAACTGAACACACCTGGTGGTTGAAGTCCGTGCATATTGTAAGGCTGTAGATTAGAATGGATTGTCATGTTTCACGAAACACAAAAAGATGACGGGTCATATTATCATATTACTGAGTCAGCGATATGTAGCTGTGTCTCTGTCAATGAACATCGGTGACACACCCTTCTGCGTGAAGATCCAACACATATCCTCAGTCAAAGTTGTCGTCTTTGTCTACAGGAAGGACTAATAACAACCTCTGTATCAACCTCGTAAAAGAATCTGAAAAAGATTTTAAAAATTAAACACAACACTGACCATAAATAACCTTACAAAAAAATCCACAATATTTGGTGGAGTCATATCTAATGACTTAAGCTTTCGCTCGTCACGTAGACTAATGCTTAGTCCCTGAATATATACATATATATATATATATATATAATATTGATAGTAACAAATACACCCATTTAAACTGAAAAGGTACTTCAGTGAGTTGGAAGGTTGAGAGGAACCTGAGGAAATCTAGACTTGCATCATTTAGGGCTTTAGCATTGCAGGGAGAGCTAGGCAGTAGGGGAAATAATGTGGTTCAGGGACTGTGAGTGAGTTTAGTTTTACGCCACACTCAGCAATATTCCAGCTATATGGCGGCGGTCTGGAAATATTCGAGTCTGGACCAAACAATCCAGTAATCAACAGCTTGATCATCGATCTGCGCATTTGGAATACGATGACATGTGTCAACCAAGCCAGCAAGCCCGACCACCCGATCCCGTTAGTCGCCTCTTACGAGAAGGATAGGCTGCTAAAGACCAGTTCTGGACCGGATCTTCACGGGCTTAGCATCATACCTTGAGCTTCAAAAACTCAGGTTTGGTGATATTGCTGGAATATTGCTAAAATCGGCGTTAACCCAACTCACTCACTCACTCACAGCAGTGAGTTTATTGTGGAGTTATTTTACCCTTGAATTCCCTCAGCGACCAACTGTAACACAGTGACAGAGTCATGACCCACAAATAGTACGAACTATTAAAAACATCTGCAACGCTCTAATGAATTTAAACACAATTAATACGACTTTTAATATAAATTGATGAAATAATTTCAAAACATTTGTGACATTTAAATGACGTTTTCAATTCTCAATTGAATCGAAGATGGCGGACAAACAGAAGGTGAGGTGAAATTGGGGTTAACGTCGTGCTTGAGAATATTTCGCTCATATGACGACGAGCATGCGTGAGCATGTGTATGTGCGGCTGCTTGTACTAGCCCAGACTGAAGCTGGTTTTATAGTGCTAGCCCACTGAGATACCATGCCGCAGTGAAGCATGAATACCCCACTCAGACACATTATACTGACTCCGAGCCGACCAGTCCTTGATGTACCCATTAATGCCGAGCGCCAGGCAGGGACCAACAAGTACCATATTTTAACGTCTTTTGGTACGACGCGGTCGGGGATCGAACCCGCGACCTTCCGCTCTTCGGGCGGACGCTCTAACCACTACACCACGGAGGCGGTCCGGACCACAGGGGCATGTCACGCATAGAAACAGAGTTAGAAAGACATATAGGTATATAGACCCTACCCTAGTACTATATTATATAGTACTAGGGTAGGCTCTATATATAGTACTAGGGTAGGCTCTATATACCTATATGTCTTTCTAACGCTGTTTCTAAGCGTGACACGCCCCTGTGGTCCGGACAAACAGAAGCATCGCGATTCAACTATGGATATAGTGAACTATTCATATAAGGAATTGCTTTCGTGGTCTTTTGGATTTCGTTATTTCAGAGGTCTACAGTACCAGTTCCAGTAAAACCTTACCTAATTTGTGCTTGACTGACGTGGGTTTGGACCAGACAGTTCCGACTACATACACCGGAACTCCTAACAGCATCAACAGAAGAGCGACTCCGCTTTCATGGGGCTTCTGGTATATCGTTAATATGAAAATGAGCAGACTGACTATGAAGAGAAAACTAGGTACGACCACCGGTAGCTGAAACAGGAGAAAACACCAGTCAGTGGGAGAGTACTCTTTAATTCCATGTACCACAGAACGGAAATATATCCCGTTATTTGATATTTAAATTTTAAGAAAGTTGGCAGTTATTCGCAATTTGAGTTGTGATGTCTCTCTTGTTAATTTCTGGAGCTAATTTGTTTTCGCTCATATCTCAAATTTTTGTGTGACTGTTTAATAGTGAGTGAGTATGTTTTTACGCCGCTTTAAGCAATATTCCAGCAACATCACGGCGGGGGGACACCAGAAATAGGCTTTACACATTGTGCCCATGTGGGGAATCGAACCCGGGCCTTCGGTGTGACGAGCGAACGCTTTAACCATTAGGCTCCGCCCCTGATTGTTTAGTAACCGAGGCAATATTGTTGTTACCCATGTTGAGGAAAGGCTATGTACTTATTGCCAAGCAAATGGAGAATTTGCTTTAAAAGCATGAATTATGAATTTTAATTTATAACATGAATTATGAATGTCCACCCCAACACCCCCTCTCAAAAAAATGAATATATTATGGCATGGGTATATATATATATATGTACCTATTTACAGGGATACAAAACACACACACACACAGACCCGTGAAGGTCCGGGTTAGAATATTGATCCTCAGTAACCCATGCTTGTCGTAAGAGGCGACTAACGGGATCGGGTGGTCAGGCTGCTGACTTGGTTGACACATGTCATCGGTTCCCCATTGCGCAGATCGATGTTCATGCTGTTGATTACTGGATTGTCTGGCCCAGACTCGAATTTTTCCAGACCGCCGCCATATAGCTGGAATATTGCTGGGTGCGGCGTAAAACTAAACTCACTCACTCACTTAAACACACACACACACATATATATATATATATATATATATATACCCTGTACATATGTATGTGTGCCTTTATAGTGAAATTCAACTCTTTGGCTCTTTCTGTCTATAACATTGTCCCGCCATATAGCTGGAATATTGCTGAGTGCGGCGTAAAACTAAACTCACTCACTCACTATAACATTGTCGTCTACATCGGAAGGATCTGGATCTTAAATAAACGAGGCACATACACCAAATGACAATGATGACGTTAATACCTTTATAGGGCGGGGCAAGTCTGGCTCCTTCCATCTGAGGTAAACCTGACCAGCCAGAACTGCACACAACACCGTCGCAAAGCTAAATCCCATCATCTCGATGAGGTAGAATATTTCCTCAAAACACTGCATAATGAGAGTCAGGATGAGCTGGAAGGGAAACCAAATAATGAAAGAACGAGATAAAAGAAACATCCTCTCATGGGGAGAAACTTTAGACAGGTGCTGGAAAAAAATAATTCACCGTCCATCATGCAAACAAAATCAATTCGTCATTGAAAAATAATATGTTACTTAAAAGTGGTAAATGATATGAAAAAGGTTCGCAACACATTTGGGCGGTGGGTAAAGCGTTAACTCGTCACGCCGTCACATGGGTTCAATGTGTGAAACCCATTTCTAGTGTCCCCCGCCGTGATATTGCTGGAGTATTGGTGAAAGAAGTATAAAAGCTAACTCAGTCACTTACAATACACTTATTTACTTCTGTTCATGTATTCGCTTTGATTAAACCCCGTTCATGCGATCATAAATGTGGAGTTGACTTTTACGATTACTGAGTGTGGTTCCAAGCGTTTTGGGACGGTTATTTCATAACAGTGTCCTTGACCATAACGCCAGTTACGCCAAGAAAGGTCGACAGACATTGCTTGATACTATGTATTGTACGTAATGTCCATACAGTCGTTACGATTAAGACCGTAAATTGGACTTAACGTTACGACGTAACAAAAACGTGAAGATCCGATACAGAATCAGTCCTCACTTATCGAAAGAGGAGACTATTCGGATCGGGTGGTCAGACTCGCTGGTTTGGCTCATCTATGTCGTCTCTAAATTGCATATATAGATCGATGTTCTAGGTAAATCACTGGATTGTCAGGCTTGGTTATTTACAAACCAACTGCACATTGCTGAAACACTGGTACAGTTCTCTACACTGTTATTTCACAGAACCCTTACATTGCCTCCAAGGACTCTTTAAATTGATAATTGGGGTCCCCGGGACATGCAATGGTGACATATTGTAGTACAGCAGAAGACTCCAAACATTTTCACACATGTTAAATTTTTATACTCCTATGAGTGGCGTGACAACATTATATCCAATTAGATATAGCAACCGTTGGGATATATTATTTCGGATTATTGATAAGGAACTGGAGAAATAGTTTTGGCACGGGATCTGTACAATGTCGATCCACAAACTACAAACTGGACAAACTACTGGGATAATTCTTACCATTCCTAATCATTTGCAGTGAAGGCACCAAACATCAGTTTCTAAAGAGGCAACAGAAGCCTTTCACAAGTGTAGGCCACGTTGGAGACATGTCCGTCCCATACACATCATTTCCCATACATCTGCGGCTGAGGTCTTGACCCGAAATTTAAACTTGGATTTGGGCGAAACATGTCAAAGCTTTTGACTTGTCCATTTTGACGTTGTGTGGGATGCTAGTATATGACTGTAGTTTGCCGTCCCGTCATGGAGTGTTATGACAAACCAGGCAGACATGAAACAAACGCTTCAACAAACTTCATCCACATTTCGGACGCAACACAAGCTTAGCGCTTGTAGCCATCAGCAGGGAGAATAGATTATCCCTGCCATCAGGCAGCGGCCAAAATCAATGGCACAATTGTGTATCCAGTCATAGGTGCGCATGCGTCAGGGGTTATTATCACACAGTTCACCGTCACAACTTAAAAATATATTACCGTTTAAATGATGAAAACAAGTCTATCTGAAAGCAACGAAATGTTATACTCACAATAACTATTAAGGATGGCGCCGGTGTTAGATGGTTCACTGTGATCATTGATATTAAACTTGGCAAGTGATTGTTTTTAGCACCAGCGAAAAACAACCTAAAACAGAAACAAAAGTGTGTCTCTTTAAGGCTGGACAGTCCTGGAGCCAAGATGTAAAGCTCGGCACAAGTATGGTAGTTAAGGCCAGATGTCGTGAGAGGGAGTGAGTTGAAGTGAGTGGGTTCGAGTTTGTCTGAGAGCAGGGTTCAATTTGTCGGAGAGAGGGGATGATGTTGAGTTTTGTTTGTTTGTTTAACGATTCACTCAGCAATATTCAAGCTAGTAGGCGGCGGTCTGTAATTAATCTGGACCAGACAAACCAGTGATCAACAGCATGAGCATCGATCCACGCAGCTGGGATACGACGACATGTGTTAACCAAGTCACATGATCCCGTTAGTCGCCTCTTATGACAAGCATGGGTTGCTGAAGATCAATTCTAACCTGGATCCTCACGGGTGATTGATTGGTGGAAAGCTGGGCTGCTTAGTGGGCAGTCGGGTTGTTTATTGGTGAGTGTCGGGGTTCAGACTGTGGCTTAGGATGGTTGAGTTTGACGGAGAGTGGGGTTGAGTGTGACGTAGAATGGGGTTGAAATTCTGAGTTGAGATTGCTAATGAGATGAGGTGAGCGTGACGGAAAGTGGGGTTGAAGTTGACAAGTTGTCGATGTCGTTGGGAGTGAGGTAGACTAAGGCTTAGTCTCTGAATATATATAAATTTGATAGTAACAAACAAGCCCATTTATATTGAAAAGGAGCCCTAGGGAGACCAGAGATTCAGAACCTGCGGAAATCTAGACTTGCTTTATTTAGGGCTTTAGCACTGCAAAGAGGGCTTCTCAGTATGGAAATTAATGTGGTTCAGGGACTGTGAGACAGACTAGGGAGTGAGGTTGCTTGGTTGTGGTGGGAAGCGGGGTTTTAGATTGTCGCAGTGGGGATGCGTTTGGCGGAGACTTGGTTTAAATTTAGCTGAGATCAAACTTCTGTTTGGCAGAGAGTAGGCTGAGACTGCATGAGAGGGGCTTTGCGTTTGGTTGAGAGAGGGTTTGCGTTTGGCTGAGAGAGGTTTTGCGTTTGGTTGAGAGAGGGTTTGCATTTGGTTGAGAGAGGGTTTGCGTTTGGTTGAAAGAGGGTTTGCGTTCGACGGATGGTTGGATCGAGGTTGTCCTTCCGTTACCTGGACATGGAGAGACAAGATCCGTTCATGGCTCCGATCACAGACACGGCTATCAGCACAGGCATAATCCACTGCAGGACAGGCACGGTGACGGCGGAGAACGTCTGAAAACATTCACCAAAACACAACCATGAATGCATAACGCGGTCACATACATACACGACAGGCATATAAAGTTTATCCCTGGTAAATACTGTCAGTAAACAAACTAAACGATATACCCAGTTCGGGTTAGACCGCGGTCTATTTATTATATCTATTCCATGTGCAGAGTTGTGTCCCTTTGGGACGCCAGAAACCTATGATCCTGAATTGTCCCGATTACGTTATTAGGTTTGTCAGTACTATTGTGAGTTTCTTGCAGCTGATGAAGTCTCAGAACTGCATCAGTTCGGATTTTCCGCACACATCACACTGAAACGCCGTGATATGACTGGAAAACTGGTCACGGAGTCACGCACACACTCACATGCACCCAAATAGGGTAAGTTGGTGAACGTTGTACCGTACACATGAAGAGTAAAATTCAACATTTGATTGCACGTTGAACATCTACTTCATTTTCCACTTTTGTTCACAATAGTACCTAAAAACAAAAAGAAGAAAATGAAGAAAGAGAAATCGGGTTCGACCCCAATATTCTATTGTTCCCTCCCTCAGCCACTGGTAGGGGCATTTGGGTAGCCAAGTGGTTAAAGCGTTCGCTCGTCACGCCAAAGACCCTGGTTCGATTAACCACATTGGTACAATGTGTGAAGCCATTTTCGGGTGTCCCCCGCCGTGATATTGCTTGAACAATGCTTAAAGCGGCGTAAAACTAAACGAAACGTACTCACTCATTCATCCACTGGTTTGCCTGTCCCCATACCCGATTATGTACAAGCAGCCGTGATATAGCTGGACAACAGCGTGAAAGAACATACTTACGACAGCGACAGCAGTAGAGTCGAGTATCTCCGCCGGTGACAATACAGCGAAGTATGCAATGTTGGCGGTGATGTAGACGCTGGTGACAATCGCCATGGAGATGACAATAGCTCGCGGAACATTGCTGCAAATAATTAACAAATTTATGTCTGATTTCTCATTTGTGAAAATAGTGGTAGTGGCTTGGTGCAAGGACTTCGAAAACCTTTAGCAATTCATTAGAATTATTCTTTCCAGCTACACCTGGTAACGTCAAAACTGTGTGGCTTCAAGTATGACTGACTGACTGAGTTTGGTTTTACGCCACTTTTAGCAATATTCCAGCAACATCATGGCGGGGACACCAGAAATGGGCTTCACACATTGTACCCATGTGGGGATTCGAACCCCGGTTTTCGGCGTGACGAGCCAACGCTTTAACCACTAGGCTACCCCACCGCCCCTTCAAGTATGACGTTATTTCAAAGATTGGTTAGCATATACAATGTATTAAAGCCGTTGCTTTCATCTGTCTGTTGTTAATCTGCCATGCGGCGATCAGTCTAAGTAAACTTAGCCTTAATATTATTCGTTACACTGCTATACTGAGTCTAACAAACCCTAGTAGAAGGTCGTGTCAGCTAACCTTTGAGCGACCTATGACCGTCCAAGCAAACGAGAACGGATTTAACCCATCAGACAACGACTACTTGTTAGGGCTCGGCGGGACTTACAAAACGTTTTTTGGGATTTACTCTTCCCTGGTCGCTGGCACTGATCTCTCAATAAACGAAAATTCGCATAAAACACAGGTATATTTGGCCTGTAGTGTTGACTGCATGGTTACTATAAGCTTCTGTTTCCGCAAGATGACATCCTTGAATATTGACCAAAACGCTATTTTCAGCGACTGTTTACTCATTGCGTCCTCCATGTGTATCACTCGGAAGCGATCGTGCTGAAAATAGCATTCGGAATCGTTCGAGTTTTTAGGTAAAGGTTAAAATGGTATGTGCGAATGTTAACTTTCGCGATTTTGGTCAGCTGTGTTCTGATTGGTCAGTCCAAGAGGTTATCTCGCGACCTTCTACTAGGGCGTGTTAGACTCAGTATAGCCGTGTAACGAATAATACTGAGCCTAAGTTTACTCAGACTGTTGCGCGACAGAACCAATGACAGATTATCTATGTCTATATATAGGAACATATAGCTTCTTTTATGTGACCACGTAACCTGCTAATCATATCACAAAAATCGATTAGATTTACAACAGACGTCTTTGTCACTGCCAATTATCTCTAAAATAGTTTTGAGGTAAACCCTATCCCCGGGATTTATGCATGGGTTTATGTGATGCTGGAAGTCGTCACTTCTTTCCAAAACCTTCATCTCACAATAATAATGGAGGTAATTTTAGGAGACGGGAGTGTCCTATTCCAGATTAAAAGATGCTAAAATAGAATAACTACAGACATATGAAGAATCCAATATTCTTAAAGATATTATAAGAAGAATGTGATTACAATGTATTAATGTCAGATCGAACTTTATTACCTTGAACTATTGTTATAGTCGATGCGTATAATATTAGCACTCGAATCCAATGTACTTTCATCAGTTTAAGGAAACGAAGGTTTATCATACATCCAGAAATCACGTGGCACACCTACCGATGAGGATCTATCACTTCGTCGCACAGGAAGTTCAAGTAGTTCCTGAAATATAAATCAAATGTAGGTTGTAGGAATATCAATGAGTGAGTGAGTTCGGGTTTAAGCTGCCTTTAGCAATATTACCGCAATATCACGACGGGGGACACCAGAAATGCGCTTCACGCCTTGTACCCATGCGGGAAATCGAACCCGTAAATTCGGCGCCACAAGCGAACGCTTTAACCATTAGGCTACCCTACCGCCCATAATTATATCAAACCAGGTTATAGTGCTGAATAGTGCAACTGCACCGTGACGGTATCAAAAGGCAGGTACACTCGACTGGGGTATGTCAATTCTTCAAATGAAATATAAAAGTATGAATATAATTCATGATTACATTTATGCTAACTTGGTATTATGTAAATATAAGTACGTATGTTGCATTACGCATACGGGTATCTATTATATTGTATCTGTAAGTATCTAGTATTATGTCCATAAGTATCTAGTATTATATCTATACGTATCTAGTATTATATCAATTAGAATGTAGTATTTTGTAAATATATTTCTAGTATTATGTGAATACTTATCGAGCATTATGCAAATACTTATATAGTTCTTTGAGTGTTACTTATACGGTGTTATGTAACTATGTATCTAGTATTATGTAAATACTCATCTAGTATTATGTAAATACTTGTCTAGTGTTATATACTCATCTAGTATTATGTAAATACTTTTCTAGTGTTATATAAATACTCATCTAGTATTATGTAAATACTTGTCTAGTGTTATATAAATACTCATCTAGTATTATGTAAATACTTTTCTAGTGTTATATAAATACTCATCTAGTATTATGTAAATACGTACCAGCCCCCGAAGGCCCAGAATCCGGAGTAGAAGCCGACAGCAATGGCCCCGGCGCTATAATCGCTGTCCTCAAACGAGTTCTCAAACTGTTCGGTCTCACCTAAAAACAAGCAGCATTGGAAAACAGATAAGTTGTCGCTTGCCAGGGAGTGAGTGAGTGAGTGAGTATGGTTTTACGCCGCTCTTTAGCAATTTCCCAGCAACATCACGGCGGGGGACACCAGAAATGGGCTTCACACATTGTACCCATGTGGGGAATCGAACCCGGGTCTTCGGCGTGACGAGCGAACGCTTTAACCACTAGGCTACCCCACCGCCCCCGCTTGCCAAGGACGATAGGACATAACATTTCTAAAATGTTAATTTCCCCTACAGCATTGAAAGTATAGTGAGTGAGTGAGTGAGTGAGTGAACTGGGATTCGACCTCAGGAGTGTACCAGTTCTGTTTAATGTGGGAGGAAATCCCGAAGTGATGGAAGTCTCAAGTTACAGATACCATATGCCATTTTAATGGTCAACAAAATGTTTGTGCTTCCGGGTATCCATAAACGTTGTTAAACGTCACGACACTTTTCAGGGCACATTGGAACCATGTTGGGAATCGAACTGGGGACATCGATATGATGAACTAAATCTACATCATCAACCATCAGTTCAAAGCGATCCACTTTTCTCTGCGTTTGAAAGTAAACGGGTTCATTGAAGATTCAGTATATATATTCTCCATCTATACTCACCCTTGCCAAGCCAAATGAATCCGATGATAATGATGATGAGGAGAGCGATGAGTTTGCTGCCGGTGATGACAGCCTGTACTTTGGTGGCCCATTTCACGTTCATGCAATTCAACGCGATCAACAGGACTGAAAAGACAATGTATAAGTAAGTACGATTTATATGCCGCCTTTAGCAATATTCCAGCATTATCTCCGCAGGATACCAGTATTGGACTTCACAGATTGTACCCATAAGGAGAATCGAACCCGGGTCTTCGGCGTGACGAACGGATGCTTTAACCATCAGGCTACCCCACCGCCCCACGTTTGAGATGAACAAAAAGGTAGTACGTGTGGTCAAACGCCGCTTTATACAGTAATGTAGTCACATAATGATGAGTCTACTCTAGCGTTAGAACAGGTGAGGTGAGGTGGAATTGGGTTAAACGTCGTGCTTGAGAATATTTCGCTCACATGACGACGTGCATGCGTGTGTATGTGTATGTGCGGCTGCCTGTACTAGCCCAGACTTAAGCTGGTTTTATAGTGCTAGCCCAGACTTAAGCTGGTTTTATAGTGCTAGCCCACTGAGATACCATGCCGCAGTGAAGCATAAATACCCCACTCAGACACATTATACTGACTCCGAGCCGACCAGTCCTTGTTGTACCCATTAATGCCGAGCGCCAGGCAGGGACCAACAAGTACCATATTTTAACGTGTTTTGGTATGACGCGGTCGGGGATCGAACTCGCGACCTTCCGCTCTCCGGGCGGACGCTCTAACCACTACACCACGGAGGCGGTCCGTTAGAACCGTATAGAAGGTAGGTGTTTATCACTGTAATGACACTGATGAGAACGTGACCTCGAGAACGACCCTTCTGTTAATCCTTCTGTTACCCAAATGCACCGCTGTAAACATATACATTTAGAATATTGTCAGACATAGCTACATGTATATCTATTGTTCTGTGTTCACTCCTCACAGCGTTACCTCTCGTGGTGCTCGCTGTGTGCTGTCAAAGCTCCAAACTGTGCTCAACGGCCTGCAACCGTGTATGGAGTTAAACTCGTAATTGACGGACATCTATGCTTGCAAACAGGCAGCACATTTCCATCTCAACTGTTTTGACTGTTTGTCAAATTGATTTTCTATTTCATTTCACGATGATAACGAAGGTGCTAATCAATCTGATGGAACTATTCCGTGAACGGGACGTAGCCTTTACTGTAACGTCTGCCACACTGATATGGTGGTCTGTATATACCGTATTTCTTCTAATAAGCGCCCCCGACGCTCAACAGACCCAGCAACTTATTAGAGGCCCGGCGCTTATTAGAGATCCGGCGCTTATTAAAATACCCTGTATTTTTAAAAGCGGGGGTGAATATTTTTAGACCAAGGGAGAATACATTTGCGAAAAACTGCAAAGGTCTATACCCGGCGCTTATTAGAGACCCGGCGCTTATTTCTGAAAGCACTGCTTTACCCCCGGCGGTTATTAGAGGCTCGGCGCTTAATAGAGGAAATACGGTACTTGACTTCTGATATAAGCAACCGGATTGTACTGAGCGGTATATATTTATATTATGTAACCGAGATTTTATATAACCGACAGGATACATGTGATTAGAGAGGCTGACGAGCTTGTTATCAAGGATGGGGTGAAGATAAAGGTTGAATGGATATGCACACAATGTAGGTCAAGGTCATTACCAAATAACCTATGACCTACATAGATCAGAGGTTTTCCTTCGTCAACATCCGAGACACGTATCGCACATCTTGGACATTTTAACCCATGCGTAAAATAGGAAGAGGAGTGAGTGTGATTTTCCGCCGCTTTAGCAATATTCCAGCAATATCACGGTGGGGGGACACCAGAAATGGGCTTCACACATTGTACCCATGTGGGGAATCAAACCCGGGTCATAGGCGTGACGAGCGAACGACTTAACCACTAGGCTACCCCACCGCCTCTAGCAATCCTAACAGTATCACAAGTGGGGTATGAGAATGGGCTTCATGTATTGTACCCATGGGGGAATCTTTCCGATCGTTCAGGGTGACGAGGGAACGCATTAACTGCTAGATTGTTCCCGTCCACCCCGTCGCCCCGCGCCCCTGAAACATGCATGTATTCAAGACACGCAGCATTAAGGCGCCATGTTGAACAGCGAGCATACGTCAGTACATTAACCATTAGCATGTTGTATCAGTCGGATCATCCATGTATGTGCTTCCTACCTACCTACCTACCTTTGACATGATCACATTATCTACTTTCGAGATAGGTCAATGCGCGCGATGTTGCGTCACGCAAACTTCCTGATCACGTGTCGATCACGTGGTAACTTCTTCCAACAGCATTAACATCACCCGACACACATCAGCGACGGGTGTTTGACACACAGGTCATGGCAATAACTTCAGATGTCATCTGTCCTGGCCACTGATTCAAGTTAAAAATGCGACACATCCATTTCCATAATCATAATCATAAATATCATAATATCAGCCCGCATATCGACCTACACGTCAAGCATCGTGAACTTTGGGAATTAAGGCCAGGTGTAACACAGTATTTGGATCCCCGTAGTATTTGGCATCGGACCCACAACACTACGGGTCTGGGTCCGATCCACAAAACGTTCGGAGCGCTACGACATTCGTAAGCCTATGATAAACTATAGAGTTACGACAGGTCGTAACGTTACGAACTTTTTTGGGGATCGGGACCAAGGGTGCAACGGGCGGTGTATGCGTAGATTCGCGCTGTTCACACTTACAAACTCGCTCTGTTGGATAACGGACCTATGTCAAGGATACTTCTGCAACTCAGTAAAATTACTATCCGTTGGGGTGTCTACCTGCTGTGAGGTGGATTCATTATTTATTCAAGGGTAATCATATTCCGTTTTTACGCAGCATCAGCGTGGTTACGTTTTTGTGAAACCATTTATTATGTCCTTCAAAACTCTTCGTAACTATACGATATTTTTAAATGTCTGGGTCAAAGTCTGCTTTACAGATAAAGCTATACATATCGCACTTGACGTATCATTACACAAGACTGTACCATATGCTGGACACAGTCATGAACTGATGCACTCGTATATCTATTGAAACCTTGTTTGAACGGGTCTTAAATTTAGGGCGATATTGTTTTGGATAATAATGAACTGAAGTATAGCTGACCTGCACAGACGTCGTATGGAATAAACTGACGTTCTCAAGAAAGTACACACCTAGTGCTTTAGGGTTATTTAACCAAAACGTTGGTTATTTGTTTTAATAAAAAACTTATGGTGTATCTCGAAATTGTGTCTTTTCAGAGATATTTGGGTTTTGTGTTAACACCTTTACCTATTTGGACTAAAGCAGTAGCTACACTTGGTGCACAGACTAAAAAGGCTATTATGACTTTGAACAAAGATTAAAAGAAAGTTTAAAATATACCATGTCAAGATTTATTTCAGATATTTGATGCTATGACTGTTCCAATTGTGTGTTATGGTGCAAAAGTATAGGGGACCTCATATTGTAAAATCATGAAGATGTTTTGCATAAAATATGTAAATGGTTTCTGAGAATGTGTAAAACAACAAATGATCCTATGGTTTGGGGAGAATGTGGCAGAACCCCTCTCCAACTGGCATTTATATTTCATAATGTGTATGGTTTCTCATTACATAAAAATCTGTAGCTATATCTCGGGTTGGAGTGAGGAATGGGGGTACATTCAGTTTTAGATATATCATAGTCATGTGATTCTCCATTTCCAGTAGACAACACGCAAATTGTCCGATGTGTAATCAACTTCTCGGTAGCATCACGCAGATGGTGCCATACCATGATTATTGTTATACTTTTTAATGTGGATGTTATATTCAAATGATACAAGCCAAATGAATAAAACTAATAAATATATTCTTCTTTACTATTATTCCAGTTTTGAAAGCACATTGTTAAAAACACATGGTTTAATTAATCAGTTATTTGTTCCAAATTTATTAGATCTATTTAATATTAAATATATAATGTGGTAACAACCATTTTCTAGTTACTAGCGTAAAGTTTAGTTCAAACATACAACAGGAGAATATGGGACCAAATCATCGAATTATACGTCATCAAATTTGCTAAATCAAAGATGCTAACTACAATCAATCAATGTGGTCGTTCAGATCCATGTTTAATGTGTACGATTTCGTGACAACAGCGACCTGACATGAAATATCACCTCACATGTCGGTGTTGAAAATGGTGTGTGAAAATGGCCGTTGTTCTTGACGTATACTTTGCCATAGTATCGATGAAAATGCTATGGAAAAATTCTAACCATCCCTTCTCGAATTGTTCTGTAGTAAATATATGGCGTGTCGCCCAGCAGTGATGGTCGCCATTCGGAAGTGATTGCCGGGGTCAGTCGCGAAGCGTTAGCGCAGCAGGCCCCGGGAACCAGGCTGGGCAGGACATCGAGCTAAACTATATTCGTGACTTCTATCAATCTATTCCACGTCGGTTAGCTAAAGTTCTGGCCATGAAGGGACATCTTACAAAGTATTAAGGTATGTAGATATCTTTGTCATTGATAGTTGACGCCATATAAAATCGAGTCGAACGGCTGCCATTTTGAATCGTACAGATGTAACTGGCACGGCACTGTATAGTCCAACAATATCACGGCGGGGCACTCCAGAATTGGGCTTCACATATTGTTGTACCCATGTGGGGAATTGAACCCGGGTTTTCGGTGTGATGAGTGAACTCTTTAACCACTAGGCTATCCTACCTCCCCAACATGTGATCAAAGGAAACAAAGCAAATATAACATTCTATACAGGGAGTGAGTGAGTGAGTGAGTGAGTGAGTTGGGTTTAGCGCCGCTTTCGTTCATATGGTCGATATTTTAGTGCCAACACAATGTGGAAGGAAAGACCGAAATGGTGCTGTGTTCGATGCTTACTTTGGTGACATCCATGACCAGGTGCTGATCAAGTCGGGAACATTATCAGGGCAAAGTCGGGTATAATCCCGTCACTCTACCAAGCCAAATGTCAACGCAAGCATTCTGACCTCAAATACCCAAAGAATTCTACCCATAAGTATATTTTGGTGTTTCACTGTGTGTTATGGTCCAC